GAACTGATAGTTTAGCTTTTCAAAGTAGCCTCTTTTTGCTGCTCTGATCTCCCTTGTTAATACATTTCTGGCCTGATTGTACAGCATTTTATCACCTTTTCTGTAGGCTTCCTCTTTGGAACGACGTAGCTGTTTAAATTTAGCTGTGAACCACGGTTTGTTCTTACTGTATATTGGCAAGTTCCTGGTCGATACACATAGGTCTTCATAGAAGCTGACATATGATGTTGCAGTATCTGTGTGTTCACACAGGTCTGCAGAGGTATCTTCAAAAATATTCCAATCAGTGCAGTCAAAACAAGCCTATAGCTTTAACTTTTCCTCCTCAGTCGAAATCTTCACTGACTTAATTGTTAGTTTTGTGGTTTTAAGTCTTTGCCTGTAAGCTGGTACAAGGTGAATCATGCAATGATCAGTGTCCTATAGCTGCTCGTGGTAAAGACCGATAAGCATCTGTTAGTGTTGTGTAGCAATGGTCTAAAACATTATTGCCTCTAGTGGGACAATTGACATGCTGAAAGTATTTTGGTAGCTCTTTCCTTAAATTGGCCTTGTTTAGATCTCCCAAATTAACGGCCAGTGAATTGGGGTATTTGGCTTCAGCCTTCATAATTTGGTCATCTAGAGTTCACAATGCCTTGTTTTCACAGGCTTGTGGTAGGACATAAACAGCAATTAGAGCAAATGAGGAAAATTCACGAGGCGAATAGTTTGATTTGCAGTTCATAATTAATGTCTCTAGGTTTTTGTCACAGAATTTATATATTATAGTTATATCCTGAGACCAGCTGTTGTTGATATATAAGCATAAGCCTTCTCCCTTCTTTTTACCAGATGTTTCTGCAATTCTGTCTGATTGTTGAATCTGAAACCCTGAGATGGGCAGGCTGCTATCTTCAACTGATTCATTTAACAAGTTTTTAGAGAAGCATAGGGCTGCTGAATTGTAAAAATCAGAATTGTATCTGTTTAACATAGTTAAGAGGGGCTGGGGAGGTGGAATTTATGGAATGTAGAATGTTTTCGTTCAATGTGCTAGACATAACAACGATAAGGCTGCTGAGAACCAAGGCCAAATTAACGTGTCCAACAATGACAGGAGGGAGTGCTGAGAACTTCATCTTCTTCTTTCTTAGCTAATGTGACCTGTGACATGAGGGTGGGGAACAGTATCTATTCTTTACTTATACCCAAAATGCAGGAATTATTCTATTTTGCTTTCACCTTTGATCGTGCCGTTATGATGTACCCAATAAACTGGATTTTTGAGGAAGCCAAGTCAACTCAGAGTCTTGAATTAGTTGGGAGCATTACTCGGAACCCTGACAAGTAGTTTTTTAAGGGAAAGTGGTGGTAGGGAAATGTGGTTGCATATTAAGTTTTCATACCAAAAATAATCTAATCTGCCAATAAAGGAGAAAATGTGTAGCTCACGGTTGAAACGTGGGGTCCTTGGTGCTCTCTGAGCTTCATTGTTTTGTTGCAGACATTTCATTAACCAAACTAGGGAACATCATCAGTGCACCAACCAACCTCAGAGGGCACCAAGGACACTTCAATCCAACTTGTATCTGCTGTGTCAAATTAAGATCTGAGTCCACCAGTATGAATGTAGAAGCAGGGAACCTTTTTCGGTCAAAGCCCTCTTATGATGAGATGGAATAATGACAGATGTCAATGTAGAGTGTGTGGAAAAAGCTTCCAGGTAAAAACTTTGTTTTTCATAGAAGGGCCAGAATGAACAGAAGCTAAAACAAATACATTAGGGCCATGTTCTTGTCTTTTTATGGTGTGTCATAAAGTTAAGGTAACTTAAAATTAAGTAACTATTGGTCGTGTTGTTACTTGCTAAACATGCATAAAATTCTCTTTGTTGCATTAAAAATTTCTAACCCACTAAAGTGTTTGAATGACCTGGGGGGGGGCATATTTCAGCTGCTGCTTGGTTGAAGCTGTTTTTTCAAATATTCTTATTAAATATTCTGGGTCAAACTGGAGAAAAAAAAAAGATGCAGAAAGAAAAATCAGATGTTACCTCAATTTTTTAAAATGGATTTTTAACCACTTTTCCATCCTATTAAATTTTGTTTTCCTCACTGTAGCTAAGCTCCGTGTGTCAGTGTTGACTCCAAATGCGGTCGAATGTTTTCATAGCAATGGAGCCCTCAGCTTTTCTTGTTTTGCTTTTTTATTTTCATTTTCTCTTTTCATTTATGGTCTAATGATATAATCCTGCATTCAATTCTCCAAGGGGCCTAAGCTTCCTGGTCACATTTCTTGAGGTGAATTTTCTACTCAATCCCTATTTAAAAATGGTTTTTCCACATCATACTTTAGATTTCTATTCTTTTTTCAGGATCTTCCTTTTCTTTCATCAGAAGAGACCGGAGGGGTCTATGCCCTTTCTGCCCCCCCCCTTGCTGAGAGTCTGAGTGAATAGTTTGAGAAGGGCAGATGCGTGCATTGAATTAAAGAAATAAAAAAGAAATAAAATCATTTTCCTGATTCTGCCTCCCCTCAGGCAGGAGTTTCCAACAACTGCAAGACACAAGTTGTCTTTCCCAGAGAGGCTCCTGGTCCTCCTCTTCTGACCGCCCGGCTGTTTCTGACAGGATTTGGACCCTTTGGAGGCCTCCCACAATCTCTGCGGAGCCTTCAGGGCAGCTGTTCTTGAAAGAAGCGAGTTAAAATCCCCCAGAGATAATTTTTTTCATCTCCATCGATGATTCCTGGACAGGAAAGGAGAGGAAGATGGAGAAATTGCTGCCTCTGGAGACCACGGAGCTTTTTTTGGGCAGGAAGGAATTGTGAGGGGCTTTCCACACTACTCCCATGTCCATCATCCCTGTACTGTCCGTTCTCCTCAGGCGCGCTCCTGTTTCCCGCCCTTTCTACAATCCTGGCACTTTGCGCCAAATCCATCAGGGGGCGCCATCGGGTAGAAGTTAACGTCAGGCGGTTCCCCATTGGTCCCCTGGAGGACGACGTCACAGCTGCCTTTCCAGAGGAGGCGGCGACGGGAGTGACATCGCAAACGCTTGCCGCTCTAGGACGCCGAACTCGTTCTCCTTAACCCCTGGGGCTCCGTAGGAGGTGGAGAGGCTGCGGGAGAGTCTGGTGGAGGGAGATTCAGACGTGCCCCGGGTGGGGAGGGGGTACTCTTCCCTAGTCCCATGCTCCTGAGCCGCCCTCTCCATGCGAAGAGCCCGAGTGGGGGGAGGGGAGGGTCGGCCTTGTGGAGGGCCAGGAGGAGAGGAGAGAAGCCGGGCGAGGTGGAGGCATGATTCTCACCAGGTTCCCCGAGGGCCCGATCCTGTCTCCGGAGGGGGGAGAGAAGCGGGGCGGGGCCTCTCCAGCTGCCTCCTTCCTGACCCTGCCCGGGCTGCGCTGGGATGAGCTGCTTGGGGCTCCGGACAGGTTGGGTGAAGGTAGCTCAGTGACTGAATTCCACTTTCTAATTCTTGGTATTTATTTTTCTTTCCATCTCAGATACAGAAACCCGAAATTATTTGAAATCTTTCCAAGCCAAAAATTTTCTTTTGGAAAAAAAAAAAAAAAGAGCAGAATCACTTGGCACCAGAAATGGACCCATGAAGGAAAAGGCATCTGGAGATCCATCAGAGTCCTTGGAGCCATTTGGAGTTGCTCTGCAGGACAGAGAAAGGATGGAGACACAACCTTTTGGAAAGGTGGGAAGCGGAAAAGGCCGTTCAGCTGTTCAGCCTGGGATGGTGGGGAAGCTCTGGACAAGGACTGGGCAGGAGATCCTGGAGGAGGAAACCATCCTCCCTTCAAAAATTCAGCCCTGGGATTTCATCCAATGCCAGGTAGCTGAGGGTCCCCGAAGATTTTGCAGCCACCTCCATGACTTTAGTAATCGATGGCTGAGATCAGAAAAGTGCACCAAAGCCCAGATACTGGACCTGGTGGTTCTGGAGCAGTTCCTGGCTCTTCTGCCCCCAGAGATGGAGAGCTGGGTGCGGGAATATGGAGCAGAGACCACCTCCCAGGCAGTGGCCCTGGTGGAAGGCTTCCTCCTGAGCCAGGCAGAGGAGCAGAAGGAGCAGGTCGACTTGCAGGTAAGAGTTCAAAAGAAAATAGAGAATGTGTTTGAATACTTCACCCCTTCTTCCCAAACGTTTCTGACATTCATAATATGTGGCAGTGTCCCATCAATTCTTGTAGGACCTTGTTCCATTGTTTTCTCACTCAGCCACACTGATGGATATCGGGGCTTTGAGGTGTTCCGAATATAGGAATCCACTTTACATCATGTGATGTACATTAATTCTGCTTCTTCCATCCTTCCTCCTATTGGAAGTGCTGCACTGTGGAGATCAGGGATCCTGAGAGAAAGAAGAATCCATCAAATCCCTCTCAGGAGCTATTTTTCAGGAGGATCCCTTGGGAAGATCAAACTCAGGACACCTCAGGAGGTAATTGAAGATCCTCCAATTACCCATCTGTCTTAACTTCGCTCCCTCTTCTCTTCTATAAAATACTTCCTCCTATTTCTTACTGCCATCTCTTACTCGTTACATCTGCCCAACCCACCAGAGTGCGGAGGCAGGGAATGTTGCGGGTGCCATCCCCTAGGAAGACACACCTGGTGAGACCCAGAAGAAGGGCCTTCTCTGTGGTGGCTCCCTCTCTCTGGACCATCATCCCCCCAGAGATTAGAATGGCCCCCCACAGTAGCACTCTTCCAGAAGGCATTGAAGACATGGTTCTGCCAGTGGGCCTGGGAAACCCAGAGCGGGCTGGAGCCCATTAAACGACTCCTGTGAGGTGCTTTTGCCGGGGCAGGGGGTGGGTTGATTTTATTATATTAATGTATTATATAATTCTCCTTTCATTAGTTTTATTATTTTAATATGGGTTTAATATTTTGTAAGCTGCTTTGAGTTGCCATGTGTGAATAGGCAGCATATAAATTGTCTACAATAAATAAATAAAATAAATATTTTGTTATTTATTTTGAAATTGTTTATTCCTTACAGAGAAACAAAGAATGAAACATTCTGGTTTTTATGATGACGATCAAACAGCGGTTGAACCTCTAAATCAAGTAAGAAAGGGAAAAATTATTAGATTTGTATTCTCCCTTCAGGAAATTAAGTGGGTGTACAGAGTTCTCTCTCCTTCTATTCCCCCCCTTGTTTGGACTGAGTTATTTTTGTGTTCTTCCACAACATGGAGAGCAGAATAGCAGGTTGAAGTTGCTGTCAGCCAGCATAGCTTCCTCTGGTTGTCTTGTTCTGCTAGGTGCTCCTCCAAATTTGCCTTTACAAGAAGCACTTCTTTTAAAGTCCTTCAAGGATTAGGAATAAACGTATCACAGTGGCAGGAACTGCTGGACCATCTTTCTTTTTTAATTTATTGACCTCCTAAAGTACAGATTAACAGAGCTGGAAGGGACCTTGTAGGTCATCTAATCCAACCTCCCTACACCATTTCTGACAGCTGGCAGTCTAGTCTCTTCTTGAAAGCTCCCAGTGATGAAGCTCCCACTTCTGAAGGCAACTGCTGTTCCATGGGTTGATTGCTTTCACTGTCAGAAAATGTCTCATTTCCAAGTTGAATCACTCCTTGTTCAGTTTCCATCCATTATTACTTGACTGGCCTTCAGGTGCTTTGGAAAATAGCCTGACCCCCTTCCTCCCTGTGGCAGCCCCTCAAATATTGGAACACTGTTATCGTGTCTCCCCTGTTCCTTCTCTTCACTAGATTAGCCATGCCCAGTTTCTGCAACTGTTCATTGTATGTTTTAGCTTCCAGTCCCCTCATCATCTTGGTTGCTCTTCTTTGCAGTCTTTCTAGAGTCTCAAGATCTTTTTTATATCATGGCAACCAATACTGGATGCAAAGTTCCTAAGTGTGGTCTTAACAAGGCATTATAAAGAAGAATTAACATTTCATGTGATCTTGATTCTATCCCTCTCTTAATGCAGCCTATGATTCTGTTGGGTTTTTTTTAGGCAAGTGTAGCACACTGCTGACTCACATTTAAGTGATTGTCCACTAGGGCTCCAAGATCCCTGTTGCACTTTCTACTGTAGAGCCAGGTATCATCTATTCTATGCCAGTGCATTTGGTTTTTCTTTCCTAAATGTAGCACATTACATTTCTCACCATTGAGGTTCATTTTGTTAGAAGGTGCCAATCTGTCAATCATTCTATATCTTGAGCCTATCTTCTGGAGTGTTGGTATTCCTGTCAATTTGGTCTTGTCTGCAAATTTGATGAGTTCCCCTTCTATCCTCTTGTCTAAATCATTGATGATGATGAACAGATCTTGTGAATCCTCCTGTTCTGTTCTTTTCTCCGTGTTCAGGAGAGTTTTGTGTCCTTCGAGGAGGTGGCTGTGTATTTCTCTGAGGAGGAATGGTCTCAGCTGGATCCTGACCAAAAAGCCCTGTATTCGGAAGTCATGCTTGAAAACTATAGGAATGTGGTCTCTCTGGGTAAGAGTTTTCTTGTCCCAAATCAGAGAGTTCAAGAAGACAGATTATAGTTACTTTTTATTAAAAAATCACTAATCAGATATTGTCTCCTGGGAGAGAAAAAGAAAGGATCTGGCCTTCTGGTACTCCAAGGAAGGAAAGAGTCAATGTCTCTTTGCTGAGATGCTTTTGTGCCATAATGGAATGGAATGGAATGGAACAGATGCCTAAAGTACTGCAGTGTGAGATCACGCAAGATCACTAGTGTGAGATCTTGCACTTCTGGTTTTGTGTGATCTCGCACTAAAGTAGTTTAGGCCTCTGTTCTCAGCAATCGGAAGCCTGCTTCAGATCCAACCAAAAAGTCCTTCCCAACCGATGAGACTTTGGGGCAGCGAAATAGTCATTCTTGAAGCCTCCCAACCTTTGCAGTTTCAGCGCGATGAGCATTTACAAACCAATGGGAGGCTTCAAGCAAGGGACTTTGTTCCAAAGTTTCATCGTTGGGATCAAGGAATGGGCTGAGTGGTAGTCCTGCCTGACAGACAGACACCGTGGAGTAGTTGCACCAAGGTACACAGCGTAAGAATGAGCGTTTTTCAAAATGGTTTCAGTTCTCACAGGTCTCTGCCGAAATTAACCCAGCCGAATGAATCTCGTTTTCTCCTTATTCTTCCTTGGATGTTTCCCCTCATTATTCCTTGACTCAAAACAGACTTTGATTGAGATTTGCAGATATTTAGATAATTGTAAAGAAAGAGATGTTTTCTGGATATTTTCAAAGCTTTCAGGACTCATGAAGATAGAAATCATCCTGTGTATATCACGCCACTGTAAGCATGCAAACATAAAACATAATTGAATTTTGGAAAAATTCAGAAGGAAATTCACTTGACTTTGTACGTTTGATTTTTTTTCTCTAACCTTGTTATCATTTTCATTTGTCTTTTGCTTTGAAGGTAATAATGGGCAGGAGAATCAAGATTCCTGTGAACTGTTCAAAGTGATCAATGCTAAAGATGGAACGGAGAAGTTTGGAATTCAAATGGAACTAGAAACTCATAATAGAAAACAGTCAAATGATTGGAATCAGGAAAGCTCATCTTTCACTGATGCTCCGATACAAGACTTTCTTGCCCAAGAGGAGAAAAGAAGGAAAAAATATATTGGGAAAAGTGTGAAGCCAATCAAAGCGAAATTACAAGTAAAAGAACATTATTTAAGCGAAAACAAAGGAGAAGATGCTATAAAATGCAGAGAGTCGGGTAACAGGTTCAGAAGATATAGTAATCTTATTTTCCATAAAAGGATCCACTCAGGTGATAAACCGTATAAATGCATGGAATGTGGAAAGACTTTTGCTCTGCATAGTACACTTACTACCCACAAAAAGATCCACACAGGGGAGAAGCCATTTAAATGCATGGAATGTGGAAAGGCCTTTGCTCAAAAAAGTACTCTTATTTCCCATAAGGTGATCCACACAGGGAAGAAGCCATATAAATGCATGGAATGTGGAAAGACGTTTACTCAGAGCAATGGGCTTACTATCCACAAAAAGATCCACACAGGGGAGAAACCATATAAATGCATGGAGTGTGGAAAGACCTTTGCTCAGAGCAGTGGACTTACTATCCACAAAATGATCCACACAGGAGAAAAGCCATTTAAATGCATGGAGTGTGGAAAGACCTTTGCTCAAAGAGGTAATCTTATTCGCCATAAAATGATCCACACAGGTGAGAAGCCGTATAAATGCATGGAGTGTGGGAAGACCTTTGCTCAAAGTGTTCATCTTATTTCCCATACGAAGATCCACACAGGGGAGAAGCCGTATAAATGCATAGAATGTGGAAAGACTTTTGCTCATTGCAGTTACCTAAGAATACACCAAAAGATCCACACAGGAGAGAATTCATTTAAATGTATGGAATGTGGAAAGACATTTGCTCATACCAATGACTTAAGAATACACAAAAAGATCCACACAGAGGAGAAGCCATTTAAATGCATGGAATGTGGAAAGACCTTTGCTTATAGTAGTCGACTTACTATCCACAAAAAGATCCACACAGGAGAGAAAGCATATAAATGCATGGAGTGTGGAAAGACCTTTGCTCAGAGCAGTGGACTTACTATCCACAAAAAGATCCACACAGGAGAGAAACCATATAAATGCATGGAATGTGGAAAGACCTTTGCTCAAAGAGGTCATATTATTTTACATAAGATGATCCATACAGGGGAGAAGCCATATAAATGCATGGAATGTGGAAAGACCTTTGCTCGAAGATATCATCTTAATTGCCATAAGATGAGCCACACAGGGGAGAAACCGTATAAATGCATGAATTGTGGAAAGACATTTGCTCGGAAGTATGGTCTTACTTGCCATAATAAAATCCACATAGGAGAGAAACCATATAAATGCATGGAATGTGGAAAAAGCTTTGTTCAGAAAGGTAGTCTTACTTCTCATGAAAGGATCCATGCTCAGGACAAACTATATAGCAATAGCAATTCCACTTAGACTTACCGTGTTTCCCCCAAAATAAGATCCTGTCTTATATTTTTTTGAACCCCAAAATAAGGGCTTGGCCTTATTGGGGGGGTCTTATTTGGGGGGTGCAGGAGACAGCAAGCGTGGCCACCTCATGGCTTCTGCTGTGTTGCGCTGTTACCATTGGGGTGCGTGTAGGCATCTTACCTGCCTTGCAGCTCCGTCGCGTGTCTTGCCGTTGTCTGCAGGCAAACACATAGGGTAAAAAAAACCTCGCAAGTTCAATCAAACTTCTGGAACTCGCAAGAAGTTTGGTTTTACCCTACGTGTTTGCCTGCAGACAACAGTGAGACATGCGACACAGCTGCAAGGCAGGTAAGATGCGCATCTTCCGTCTCCCCAGCCCCTGGCGGGGGGGGGGGGAAGAAGAGACGGCAATATGCATCTTGCTTCTCCCCCGCCCCACATGCCGCCCCCCTCAATAAAGAGGCAGGTGCTGTGGAAAAGGAAGCCGGGTGGGTGCAGGCTTTGGGCATCGGGGGCTGCCGGGGATTTCCCGGCAGAGAGGTGTGTGCGGGACAGGAGGTTGCAGGCGAGGGGGATGGATGGATGGATCGGAGGAGCGGCTGTGTTGCTAATGCAATCCTTGAACGGGATAAACGGAGGCATAGAATCAAAATTTTATGACGTTTGTGTGTCTATATTTTTCTTGACTGTACACCGCCTTGAGTCCTACGGGAAAAAGGCGGTATAGAAATATAATAAATAAATAAATAAATAAATAAATAAAATCACATGAAGTATTAGTACTGCTTCATAAAGCCTTAGTAAGACCACACCTGGAATACTGCATCCTGTTTGGGTCATCACATTACAAAAAAGATGTTGAAACTTTGAAAAAAGTACAAAGAAGAGCACCTAGCTGATTAAAGACTTGAAGACTAAAGCAATGATGATTATAGAAACTGGGCATGGCTAGTCTAGTGAAGAGAAGTACCAAGGGAGACAGGATAGCAATGTTCCAATATTTGAGGGGCTTCCACAGACAGGAGAGGGTCAAGCTATTTTCCAAGATACCTGAAGGCCAGAAAAGGAATAATGAATGGAAACTGATCAAGGAGACATTCAACCTAGAAATAAGGAGAAATTTTCTGACAGAACAATCAACCAATTGAACAGCTTGCTTTTGGAAGTTGTAGGAACTTTATTACTGGAGGCTTTCAAGAAGGGATCAGACTGTCATTTGTCAGAAATGGTGTAGGGTCTCGTGCTTGGGCAGGGAGTTGGACTAGATGAACTACAAGATCTCTTCCAACTCTATTAATCTAATATCTAATTTTTTTCCCAAACCACCAGAGGGCAAGATAAGAAACAATGGATGGAAATTAATCAAGGAGAGAGCAGAATTTCAGGCAGAAATGTATTAATTCTGAATTCCTTATTATTGTCACAACTTTTCTTCCTTTGCTTACTATTGTCAGTCTGCCTTTCCTGCTGCTTCACATTATATAACACAAGTAACAACTAAGAAAGAAAACCATAATGAAAACAAGTGATGCAGAATTAGAAAATCCAATTCATGGGATCTTTATCCTAATTTTGTGGTGATCTTTCCTTGCCTTCCCTTGTGTTGCCCATTTCTGGACTCACACAATCTTATCAATACCTTTTTTAAAGTGAGGTCTCCAGAACTGGACATAGTATTCCAAATGGTGTCTCACTAAAGCCCTATGTAAAAGGATAGGACCTCCTTTTTGCTGATGGTGATACCTCTGGTGGTGCATCCCAGAATGTTTTCTGCCTTCATAGCTGCCTGGCCACAGTTTACTTTTTTCACATAGTTGTGTAAAAAAAGTGCAGCTTGAACTCATTTATTAAAATAGTTCTAGCATTGTGGAAATACCTTTGTGTCTGTTCCAACCTTCCTCCACACAGAGAGCGTTAAAACAAGTAGTGTCAACTCTCAAAACGGCTATAGCTGAAGCCATATTGGATTCTTAGTTGCCATACTTGGGGGGGGGGGAAGGGGAATTTATGGAACGTAGAATGTTTTCCCCCAACGTGACGGATATAAGAACGATAAGACTCCTGAGAACCAAGGCCAAATCAGTGTGCCCAACAATGGCAGAAGGGAATGGTGAAAAGTTCATTATCTGCTTTCTTGGCTAATGTGACCTGTGGGACGAGGGGGGTGGACAGTATCTATTCTTTACTTATGCCGAAAATGTGGGAATTTTCAATTTTGCTTTCAACTTTGACCATGCAGATATGATGTACCCAATAAACCAGATTTTTGAAGAAGCCAAGGGCTCAAAGTCTTGAATTGGTTGGGAGTATTACTGGGAACTATGACAAGTAGTTTTATTAAGGGAAAGTGGTGGTAGGGAAATGTGAGTGCATATTAAGTTCTCATAGCTAGGCAGCCTATGGCCAACCCAGGCAATAATTTACAATAATTTATTAAGTAACCATTTGAAGTTACAAGCTAACATTGCGAATGATCAATCAAAAAGGAAGATCTTTGGAAAGCACTGGGTACCAAAATAACATGAAATTAAGAACTACTTTAAAAAAAATACTTCAGTCCTTCCGGATGAAACAGGCAGAAATGCAAATGAAACCTTTCTCTGGAATATCAAGATACCAAAAATAATCCAATCTGCCTATAAAGAAGAAAATGTGCAGCTCATGGTTGAAATGAGGGGCCTTTGGTGCTTTCTGACTTGTTTTGTTGCAGATGTTTCGTTACCCAAACTAGGGAACATCATCAGTGTACCAACTAACCTCAGAGGACACCAAGGACCCCTCAATCCAACTTGCGTCCGCTGTGTCAAATTAAGATCTGAGTCAACCAGTATGAATGTAGAAGCAGGGAACCTTTTTTGGTTTAAGACCTTTTTGATGGAATAATGACAGGTGTCAATGTAGAGGGTGTGCAAAAAGCTTCAGGTTGAACAATTTGTCTTTGAAACAAGGGGCCAGAATGAACAGAATGAAACAAATGCATGAGCAAAAGATATTTTTCAAGCATTAGGGCCATGTTCTTGTCTTTTTATGGTGTGTCATAACATTAAGGTAACTAAAATTAAGTAACTATCAGTTGTGTTGTTACTTGCTAAACATGCATAAAATTCTCTTTGTTGAATTAAAAATTTCGAACCCACTAAAGTGTTTGGATGACCTTGGGGGGGGCATATTTCAGCTGCTGCTTGGTTGAAGCTGTTTTTTCAAATATCCTTATTAAATATTTTGTGTCAAACTGGAGAAAAAAAATAGACACAGAAAGAAAAATCAGACGTTACCTCAATTTTTTAAAATGGATTTTTAACCACTTTTCCATCCTATTAAATTTCGTTTTCCTCACTGTAGCTAAACTCTGTGTGTCACTGTTGACTCCAAATCTGGTTGAATGTTTTCATAGCAATGGAGCCTTCATCTTTTCTTGTTTTGCTTTTTCCTTTCCTTTTTCTCTTTTCATTTATGGTCTAATGATATATTCCTGCAATCAATTCCCCAAGGGCCTTAAGCTTCCTAGTCACATTTCTTGAGGTGAATTTCCTACTCAATCCCTATTTAAAAATGGTTTTTCCTCATCATAGTTTACCTTTCTATTCCTTTTTCACAATCTTCCTTTTCTTTCATCAGAAGAGACCGGAGGAGTCTCTACCCTTTCTCCTCCATCCTTTGCTGAGAGGCTGAGCGAATAGATTGAGAAGGGCAGCTGCATGTATTGAATTAAAGAAATAAAAAAGAAATAAATTAAAATCATTTTCCTGATTGTGGCCTTCCTGCCATTGTCCCATCTGCCTCCCCTTCAGGCGGGAGTTCCCAACAACCGCAAGACACCAGCTGTCTTTCCCAGAGAGCCTCCTGGTCCTTCTCTTCTGACCGCCCGGCTGTTTCTGACAGGATTTGGACCCTTTGAGGTCTCCCACAATCTCTGCGAAGCCTTCAGGGCGGCTGTTCTTGAGGGAAGCGAGTTCAAATCCTCCAGAGAGATTTTTCTCCGTCTCCACAGACGATTCTTAGAGAGGAAAGAAGAGGAAGATTGAGAAATTGCTGCCTCTGGAGACCATCATCCCTGCCCTCTCGGTTCTCCTCAGGCGCGCTCCTGTTTCCCGCCCTTTCTACAATCCTGGCACTTTGCGCCAAATCCACCAGGTGGCGCCCTCGGCTTGGAGAAGGTAATGTCAGGTGGTTCCCCATTGGTCCCCTGGAGGACGACGTCACAGCTGCCTTTCCAGAGGAGGCGGCGAGGGGAGTGATATCGCAAACGCTTGCCGCTCTAGGAAGTCGCACTCGTTCTCCTTAACCCCTGGGGCTCCACAGGAGGCGGAGAGGCTGCTGGTGGAGGGTGATCCAGACATGTCCCGGGTGAGCGGGGGTGTCTCTTCCCTGGTTCCATGCTCCCCGGCCGCCCTCTCCATGCGAAGAACTCGAGTGGGGGGAGAGGAGGGGAGGGTCGGCGTTGCGGAGGCCCAGCAGGAGAGGAGAGAAGCCGGGCGAGGAGGAGGCAGGATTCGCACCAGGCTCCCTGTCTCCGGAGGGGGAGAGAGCGGGGCGGCCTCTCCAGCTGCCTCCTTCCCGGCCCTGCGCTGAGATGAGTCGCTTGGGGCTCCTGGCAGTTTGTGTGAAGGTTATTCAGTGGCTGAATTCCACTTTCTAATTTTTGGCGTTTGTTTTTCCTTCCATCTCAGATATGGAAACTCAAACCATTTGAAATCTTCAAAAACTAAAAAAAATGTTCTCTTGGGGGAAAATAAAAAGAGCGGAATCCCTTGGAGGGATCAGTCCTGCAGCCCCAGAAATGGTCCCGTGAAGGAAAACACATCTGGAGACCCACCAGAGTCCTTGGAGCCATTTGGAGCTGCTCTGCAGGACAGAGAAAGGATGGAGACACAACCTTTTGGAAAGGAGGGAAGCGGAAAAGGCCCTTCAGCTGCTCAGCCTGGGAAGGGGGGGAAGCTCTGGACAAGGACTGGGCAGGAGATCCTGGAGGAGGAAACCATCCTCCCTTCAGAAGTTCAGCTCTGGAACTTAATCCAATACTGGGATACTGAAGGTCCCCGAGGACTTTGCAGCCGAATCCATAACTTTTGTAGGCAATGGCTGGGACCAGAGAAGCACACCAAAGCCCAGATGCTGGACCTGGTGGTTCTGGAGCATCTCCTGGCTCTCCTGCCCCCAGATATGGAGTGCTGGTTGCGGGAGTGTGGAGCAGAGACCAGCTCCCAGGCTGTGGCCCTGGCCGAAGGCTTCCTCTTGAGCCAGGTGGAGGAGCTGAGGGAGCAGGTTGAGTTGCAGGTGAGAAACTTTAGGGAATAGAGAATGTGTTTGAATACTTCACCCCTCCTTCCCAAACCTCTCTGACATTCATTGGTGGCAATGTCCCACCAATTCTTGTAAGACGTTGTTCCATTGTTTTCTCACTCAACCACAGAGACGGATATTGGGGGCTTTGTAGTTGTATTCTGAATATAAGAATGCACTTTATGTTGTGTGATGTACATTAATTCTGCTTCTTTTTTCCTTCCTCCTATTGGAAGTGCTGCACTGTGGAGATCAGAAATCCTGAGGGAAAAAAGAATCCATCAAATCCCTTTCAGGAGCTATTTTTCAGGAGGATTCCTTGGGAATATCTAAGTCGGAACACCTCAGGAGGTAATCGAGGATCCTCTGATTACCCATCTGTCTTACCTTCATTCTCTCTATAGAATACCTCCTCCTATTTTGTTATGCATTTTGAAATTTTTTATTCCTTACAGAGAAACAAAGAATGAAGTTTTCTGGTTTTTATGACGGAGATCAAACAGTGGCTGAACCTTCAAATCAAGTAAGAAAGGGAAAAGTTATTAGATTTGTATTCTCCCTTCAGGAAGTGAAGTGAGTGTGCAGAATGCTCTCTCCTTCTATCCCCCCCCCCCGTTTGGACTGGGTTATTTTTGTGTTCTTCCACAACATGGACATCACAATAGCAGGTTCAAATTACTGTCAGCCAGCATAGCTTCCTCTGGTTATCTTGTTCTGCTAGGTATTCATCCAACTTTGAGTTTACAAGAAGCAATTTTTAAAGTCCTTCAAGAATTTGGAATAAACGTTTCACTGTGGTATTAACTGCTAGAGACCCATTCTTGTTGTAATTCTTTGACTTGAAATTGTACAAAATAATATCCAATCTTCTGTTTTGCATCTCGATTAAGAGATTAAACATTCAACATTCCTGCCTTGCAAAGAATGAGAAATGACATTCCCAGGGAATTTTCTTTTCTTTGTTTTCTTCCATTCAGCCGATGGCTCAGACTACTAGATCAATCAATGTTAGACAGAGCGATAGATCAGTTGATCTAGAGTGGGATTACTTTACTGAAAGGCACTGAAGGTTTTGCAGAATAAATGAACTTGATAAAACTTTCCCCAAATACTTTTCCAATCAAAGAAATTTTCAGAATTGTCCATTTTCTCACCTAAAATTAGGACTTGTGTGATGCACAGCCATTTAACTTAGTGCATATCTTTGCTTTGGAAATTTGGGAACAATGGAAAAGAATAACAGAGTTGGTAGGGATCTTAGAGGTCTTCTAGTCCAACCCCCTGCTCAGACTGGAAGCCCTATAACATTTCAGATATATGGCTGTTCAATTTCTTCTTAAACACCTCCTGTGTTGGAGCATCTACAACTTCTGGAGGGAAGTCATTCCACTGATTAATTGTTCCCACTCTCAGGAAATTTCTCATAAGTTTTAGGTTGGTTCTTTCCTTGATTAGTTTCCATCCATTGCTTCTTGTGCCACCTTCAGGTGCTTTGGAAAATAGGTTGTCTTCCTCTTCTTTGTGGCAGCCTCTTAGATATTGCAACACTGCTATCATGTCCGCCAAGTCCTTCTTTTCTTTAACCTAGACATACCCAGTTCCTGCAACCGTTCTTTATATGTTTTAGCCCCCAGTCCACTAATAATTCTTGTTGTCTCAACATCTTTTTAAAAAAAAATTATTAAGCAGTTTTTTAAAAAAAAACCAAAAACAGATGTTTACATCTTCTTCTTTTCAACATCTTCGCATCAGTAATCCATATTTATACATTTTCTCTTTCTTATCTTAATATATCTTTTATACATATATTTCTAGTATATCATATATACACCGTTATAATATATTCTGTTAATCTAAATATTTTATTTACATTTAACATAAACAGGTTCTCAACATCTTTTTTATAGGTGGTGACCAAAACTGGATGCAATATTCCAAGTGTGGTCTTACCAAGGCATTATGAAGTGGTATTAACACTTCGTGTGATCTTGATTCTATCTCCCTCTTAATGCAGCCTATGATCCTGTTGGGTTTTTTTTGGCAACTGTAGCACGCTGCTGGCTCACATTTAAGTGATTGTCCACTAGGACTCCAAGATCCCTGTTGCACTTTCTACTGTTGAGCCAGGTATCACCTATTTTATGCCTGTGCATTTGGTTTTTCTTTCCTAAATGTAGAACCCTACATTTCTCACAGTTGTTTTTCATTTTGTTATATGGAGCCCAGCCTGCCGATCCGTCTATATCTGGAGTTTATCTTTTGGAGCATTGGTATTCCTGTCAATTTGGTCTTGTCTGCAAATTTGATGTGTTCCCCTTCTATCCTCCTGTCTAAATCATTGCTGAACAGATCTTGTGAATCCTCCTGTTCTGTTCTGTTTTTTCCGTGTTCAGGAGAGTCTTGTGTCCTTCGAGGAGGTGGCTGTGTATTTCTCTGAGGAGGAATGGTCTCAGCTTGATTCTGACCAAAAAGCGCTGCATTCGGAAGTCATGCTTGAAAACCATAGGAACGTGGTCTCTCTGGGTAAGTTTTCTAGTCCCCCATTAGAGAGTTCAAGAAGACAGATTATAGTTAGTTATTTTATTAAAAAATCGGTGAACAGATATTATCTCTTGGGAGGGAGAAGGAAAAGATTTGGCCTTCTCGTACTCCAAGGAAGGAAAGAGTCAATGTCTCTTTGCTTACATGCTTTCTGTGCCATTTCCTATCTGTATATTTCTATTTGAAGTTATCTGTGGAGGCAGAAAAAAATGAAGTGTGCTTTTAAGTGTCCTCTGGAGGTCATGTGAGAGGAACGTGTTGTCACTTGTCCTCTGAAACCATCCCAAATTGTGTGAGAACAGAACTTTCACGCTCAGGCCATGAAAGAGCATTCTCCCAATCCAATTCAAGAACAAAGGCCTCATGCAGTGTGACTCAGAGCATCCTAGGATACAGATAATCCCCAGGTTCCGACAGTTCACTAAGCGACCGTTCCAAGTTAAGATCTAGCCCTCCCCCAAGTACGAATGTTGCAGAACCATGGCCATCATTAACAGGAAGGACAGCAGAGGCACTGGAACAGCATTCGCCCTACCTATATCGCCATCCCACACCACCAGGACTTATGTTGTGAATATGTAGTGAGCCCTCGGTTCCTTTGCCTGCTTCGGTGCATTTGCAGAAAACAGAGGCCTAAAGTAGTGAGAGATATGTGAGATCAGTACTGTGAAATCTAACACTAGTTCATCTCACGTGATCTTGCACTTTGAGTTAGATTTAGATATAGATAATTGATATAGATATAGTTAGATATAGATAATTGTAAACAATAAAATGTCTTCTAGATATTTTCAAAGCTTTCATGACTCATGAATATAGAAGTCCTCATGTCTATATCACACCCCTGTAAGCATGCAAACAACCTAATGGAATTTCAGAAGAATTCAGAAAAAAATTTGTTTGCTTTTCTACATTTTGATCTTTTTCTCTAACCTGGTTATCATTTTCATTTCTCTTTTGCTTTGAAGGTAACAATGGTCAGGAGAGTCAAGATTCATGTAAATTGTTACAAGTGACCAATGCTAAAGATGGAATGGAGAAGTTTGGAATTCGAATGGAATTTGAAAGCCATGAGCGAAACCAGTCAAAGAATTGGAATCAGGAAAGCTCATCTTCCACTGATGTGCTGATGCAAGACTTTCTTGCCCAACAAGAGAAACCATATAACTTCCTTACATCTCCAAAAGTGATTGACACAAAAGAGAAGCCCTATGAATGTTTGGAATGTGGAAAATGTTTTCGAACAAGCAGGCAACTTACTTCCCATGAAAGGATTCACACTGGGGAGAAGATATACAAATGCAGAGTGTGTGGTAACAGGTTCAGAACATGTAGTAATCTCATTTCCCATAAAAGGGTCCACTCAGGAGAGAAACCATATAAATGCATGGAATGTGGAAAGACCTTTGCTCAAAGAGGTAATCTTATTTCCCATGAGATCATCCACACAGGAGAGAAACCATATAAATGTAAGGAGTGTGAAAAGACCTTTGCTCATAGCAGTGGACTTGCTATTCACAAAAGGCTCCACACAGGAGAGAAACCATATAAATGCATGGAGTGTGAAAAGACCTTTGCAAACAGCAGTTATCTTGCTTCCCATAAAAAGATCCACACAGGAGACAAGCCGTATAAATGCACGGAGTGTGAAAAGACCTTTGCTCAAAGAAGTAATCTCATTTCCCATAAAAACATCCACACAGGGGAAAAGTCATTTAATTGCATGGAGTGTGGAAAGACCTTTGCTCGAAGAGATCATCTTATTTCCCATAAGATGATCCACACAGGGGAGAAGCCATATAAATGCATGGAATGTGGAAGGACCTTTGCTCGAAGAGATCATCTTATCTCCCATAAGATGATCCACACAGGAGAGAAACCATATAAATGTAAGGAGTGTGGAAAGACCTTTACTCATAGCAGTGGACTTACTGTCCACAAAAAGCTCCACACAGGAGAGAAACCATATAAGTGCATGGAGTGTGGAAAGAGCTTTGCTCAAAGTGGTAATCTTATTTCCCATAAGATGATCCACACAGGAGAGAAACCATATAAATGCATGGAGTGTGGAAAGACCTTTACTCATAGCAGTGGACTTACTATCCACAAAAAACTCCACACAGGAGAGAAACCGTATAAATGCATGGAGTGTGGAAACAGCTTTGCTCATAGCAGTGGACTCAGAAGACACAAAACGATACACACAGGGGAGAAACCATATAAATGCATAGAGTGTGGAAAGACCTTTGCTCTGAGCAGTAGACTTACTATCCACAAAAAGATCCACACAGGGGAAAAGCTATTTAAATGCATGGAATGTGGAAAGACCTTTGCTCAGAGCAGTGGACTCAGAAGACACAAAACGATACACACAGGAGAGAAACCATATAAATGCATGGAGTGTGAAAAGACCTTTGCACAACGCAGTTATCTTGCTTCCCATAAGATGATCCACACAGGAGAGAAACCATATAAATGCATTGAGTGTGGAAAGACCTTTGCTCAACGCAGTTATCTTGCTTCCCATAAAAAGATCCACACAGGAGAAAAGCCCTATAAATGCATGGAGTGTGGAAAGACCTTTGTTCTGAGCAGTGGACTTACTGTCCACAAAAAGATCCACACAGGGGAGAAGCCATTTAAATGCTTGGAGTGTGGAAAGACCTTTGCTCGAAGAGGTCATCTTATTTCACATAAGATGATTCATGCAGCGGAGAAGCCGTATAAATGCATGCAGTGTGGGAAAACCTTTACTCATAACAGTGAACTTACCATTCACAAATTGCTCCATACAGGAGAAAAATCAGATAATTGCATAGAGTGTGGAAAGACCTTTGTTCTGAGCAATAGACTTAGTATCCACAAAAAGATCCACACAGAAGAGAAACCATATAACTGCATGGCGTGTGTAAAGACCTTTGTTCTGAGGAGTAGGCTTAGTATGCACAAAAAGATCCACACAGGGGAGAAGCCATATAAATGCATGGAATGTGGAAAGACCTTTGCTCAGAATGGTAATCTTATTTCTCATAAAAGTATCCATGCTCAGGAGAAAATATATAGCAATAGCAATTCTACTTAGACTTATATGCCACTCTACAATGCTTTACAGTACTCTCTGAGCAGTTTACAAAGTCAGCATATGGTCCCCAGCAATCTGGGTTCTCATTTTAGCGACTTTAGAAGGATGAAAGGCTGAATCAACCATGAGGCAGTCAGGATCAAACTGCTGGCTCTGGCAATTAGCCTGTAGTACTGCATTCTAACCTCTGACTCACCATATCTCTCTATATATTTTATGTGTAAGCATATTGTGCCTTTCTGATTCAAATGTGACAAGATGGAATCCAACGAAATGAAATTTAATTTGGAGAAAAGTAAGATTTTGTACCTGGGCAGGAAAAACAGATTACATGAAACATGGCTCAAAAACATTAACTGTCAGAGGGACCTTGGAGTCCGAATGGATGATCACTTAAACATGAGTCACCTGGGTGTCGCAGCAGCCAAAAAAGCGAATACAATGCTTGGTTGTATAAACAGAGGCATAGCATCAAAATCATATGAAGCATTACTATCGCTTTATAAAGCCTTAGTAAGACCACATCGTGAATACCACATCCAGTTTTGGTCATCACATTACAAAAAAGATGTTGAGACTTTGGAAAAATGCAAAGAAGAGCAGCTAAGCTCTTCTAAAGGCCTGAGGACTAAAACAAGGATGGTTGCAGGATTTGAGTTTGGCTAGTCGAGAGAACAGGATTAGGAGTGACATGATAGCAGTATTCCAGTATTTGAGAGGCTGCCTTAAAGAGTAGGGGGTCAATTTTTTCCCCCCGAAGCACCAGAGTACAAGACAAGAAACAATGGATGGAAACCAATCAAAGAGAGAAGCAGCCTGGAATTTCCTTATAGAAAGGACAGTTAACCACTGGAACAGCTTGCCTTCAGATAGCTTGGGTGCATCATCAGTGGACATGTTTAAGAAGAGACTGGACACTTACTTGTTTTAAATGATATAGGATCTGCTTGTGCTAGATTAGAAGAACTCCAGGTTCCCTTCCAGCTCTATTCTGATTTTGATTCTGAATCCTCAATCTTTTTTTGTGCTGTTTTGCTAAGTAGGAAATTTTAAAGGAAACATGAGCATCAGTGGAGATTAAGGTTATCATTTGGCCTGAAAGTGATGTGTGGCTGCCAATATTTAAATGGTGGAGATTCATCAATCATTGCAAGAAACTCCCTCTGATGTAACTCCCTCTGATGAGCTTACTATTGTTGAAATCTGCCTTTCCACCCTGCCTTTCCACCCTGCTTCACATTGTGTAATGCAAGTAATAACTGAGAAAGAAAACCATAAGGAGAAGGGAGTTGTAGTGATGCTGAATTAAAGAATGGAACTCATAGGCTCTTTGTCCTAACTTTGTGGTGATCTTTCCTTGCCTTCCCTCATGTTGCCTCTCTCTGGATGCAATCATATCAATATCTTTTTTTAAAAGTGAGGTCTCTAGAACTGGACACAGTATTCCAAATGGTGTCTCACTAAAGCCCTATGTAGCAGGTTGGGACCTTCTTTTTCTTGATGGTGATAAGCATTTTCTGGCGGCAGTGCTGCGATCCCCTCCCCGAATCCAAAATGAGGCGTACAGCCGGCGCTGCGACCTGAAAATGCTTTCCTCTCTGGTTCCCGATGCACATTGCAGGAAGAAAGAGAAGGTGAGTCTGCTGAGAAGGAGGTTTTGGATGCTCTAGTTAGCAGTACAATATTACCTGAGAAAAAGCTACGCAAGATTAGGTTAACAACTCTTAATGCCTTTTTGGCAATGTTGTTACAGTGGGCTCTGTGACTTAGATCATTAGAGATGAATACAATGTCCTTGACAGAGTGAGGGTCATCTACAAGGTCGTGTCCACCTAGTTTGTATTTTGTGTTCTGATTTTTTTTGCCAATGTGCAAGAGACAGAGCATTTGTGGTTGAGATTTGAAGTTGCCAATTGTTTGACCATTCTGATAGATAGTCAAGGTCTTTTTGAAGGGTAGCAGCATTGTCGGTGGTATTGAATAGTTTTACATCATCAGTGAAGAACGCAGTTGCTTATAATATGATCGCAAAAGTCATTTATATAAAGTATAAAGTGTGTTGGTCCTAAAACGCTGCCTTGGGGGACACAGCTGTCACCCAAGGTGCTGGATTTGGAAGGGCGCTCCCTATTTGGACCACTTGTTGCCTTTTTGACAGGAATGCAGCTATCCAATTATGCAGGGGTCCAGAAATGCCATAAGATTTTAGTTTTAGAAATAGTTTATCATGTACCACTGAATCAAAGGCTTTACAGAAGTCTATGTAAATTGTGTCTATTGCTTTGCCCTGATCTAGTTGTGTAGTCCATATGTTTTTGCAGTGTAGGAGTTACAGATTACAGGATAATTTTTTCCTGAAACCAAATTGTTTGTTAGAGAGTAGGTTGTTTGTCTCTAAGTGGAGGATAATGGATTGGTTTATGATTGATTCCATGACTTTGCAGGTGACGCAACATAAAGAGATTGGTCTGTAATTTTCAACTAGGCTGCGGTCTCCCTTTTTGAAGATAGGGATGACTGTGGCTAGTGCCCATAGGTTGGGCAAGGAGTTGGTCATGAAAGATTTTTCAAAGATTATGCTTAGAGGTTCTGCTATGGCAGTGGAAAGCTTTTTTAAGAAGTGGGCACATAGTCCATCAGGTCCAATAGACAGAGATGGTTTTAGACTGCATAGTGCATTTTCAACGTTGTCTTCTGTAAAATCGATATGTATTAGATCATTGTTAATTATTTGTGGTACAACTAGGAAATGTTGGGCATAAGCCATTGCTGTTTACAAAGATTGAGCTGAAGAATGTGTTAAAGAGGTTGGCTTTAATGGCTTCATCATTACAGTCTTTACCGTTAGGGTGGGATAGATCTTTAGTCTTTAAGTTTGTTATTTACAAAATTAGAGAAGGCACGGAAGGTTTTAAGGTTATCATTTGCCCTGAAAGTGATGTCTGGATGTCAATATTTAAGTGGAGCAGATTCCCTAAGCGTTTCAAGAACCTTCTGATGAGTATATCCATTAGGCAGAAATGCATTAGTCCTGAATCCCTTACTATTGTTTCAGCTTTTCTTACTTTGCTTACTATTATCACAGTCTGCCTTTCCATCCTGCTTCACATTATGTAACCCAAGTAATAACTGAGAAAGAAAACCATAAGGAGAACAGGGTTATAGTAATGCTGAATTAGAAAATGCAACTCATAGGCTCCTTGTTCTAATTTTGTAGTGATCTTTCCTTGCCTTCCCTCGTGTTGCCCATCTCTGGACTCACACAATCTTATCAATATCTTGTTTTAAGTGAGGTCTCCAGAACTGGACACAGTATTCCAAATGGAGTCTTACTAAAGCCCTATGTAGAGGGATAGGACCTCCTTTTTGCTGATGGTGGTACATCTGGTGATGCATCCCAGAATGTTATTTGCCGTCACAGCTGCTTGACCACACTGTTTACTTTTTTTGGAATTATCATTTTTTCAGTGCCAGTGTAAGTTTTTTCACAGAGTTGTGTAAAAAAAGTGCTGCTTGAACTCATTTGTTAAAACACAGAATAATTCTAGACACCTTTATATCTGTTCCAACCTTCCTCCACACAGGGAGCGTGAAAGCCAGTGGTGGATTGCTACTGGTTCACCCCAGTTTGGGCAAACTGGTGGTAACGGCGGATGGAGGCTCTGCCCACCCGCCCAGACGTCATCAAAAATGCTCTGCACGTGTGAGCGAACTGGTAGCAAAGGTAAGCGAAACCCACCACTGGTTAAAGCAAGTAGTGTCAACTCTCAAAACGACTCTAGCTGAGGCCATATTTATCTTGCTTCGTTTCTTAGTTGCCATACTTAAGTGGGGGGGAGGGGAAATGTATGGAATGTAGAATGTCTTCCTCCAACGTGCCGGATATAAGAACGATAAGGTTCCTGAGAACCAAGGCCAAATCAGTGTGCCCAATAATGGCAAGAGGGAGTGCTGAGAAGTTCATCATCTTCTTTGGCGAACATGACCTGTGACATGAGGTGGGTGGACAATATATATTCTTTACTTATACCCAAAATGTGACAATTATTAAATTTTGCTTTCACATTTGACCGTGCAGATATGATGTACCAATAAACCTGATTTTTGAGGAAGCCAAGGCCTCAGAGTCTTGAATTGGTTGGGAGCAATTGTTATGCATGGAAGCCATATTACCTGTGTGCCTTGAGGATCCAGGCCTGTCACAATCATACCGTGGGAGGTTGGGAGGGGGGATTGCATGAGTGGAGTAGAGATAGCCATAACAAACTTCTCTAAGAGAAGTTCAAGGCCATGGTGTCTGGCAGCTGTGCAAAGAAAAAATTGGAGGATGTCTTCTGTTCGGGAAAGAACTGATTGGAGCTGTGTGGACATGTGGGAAATGTGGGCAAGGTCTTGAACTTTCTTGGTGAGGAAAACCCGGAAGCGTTCATTCAAGTTTTCCCAAATGTGTCAATATGACATCTCTAATAAAAGTTAGCTTTGAGGAGCTTCAAGCCTTGGAGTTTGATTTCGTTGGGGATGTTACTTGGAACTCTGACAGCAATACTCAGAATCATGACAAGTAGTTTTATTAAGGAATAGCGGTGGTAGGGAAATGTGGATGCATATTAAGTTCTCATAGCTAGGTAGCCTACTGGCCAACCCAGGCAGTCCCTGATTTACAATAATTTATTAAGTAACCATTCAAAGTTACAAGCTAACATTGCAAATAATCAATCAAGAAGGAAGATCTTTGGAAAGCGATGGGGACCAAAATAACATGAAATTAAGAAGAACTACTTTTAAAAAATTACTTCAGTCCTTCCTGATGAAACATGCAGAAATGCAAATGGGAACTTTCTCTGGAACATCAAGATAACAAAAATAATCCAATCTGCCCAAAAAGAAGAAAATTATTGTGGTCCACCAGCAGCCTGTTGACCTGGCAGTGGAGTCAGACAGGGAGGAGGCTGGGGAGGACAATGGGCCAGTCCTGGAGTCGAGGGAAGGCCCGGACGAGGGCTCTGCGTTGGAGGCAGAAATGGGGCCAGGACCATCTGTGAGCGATCCAGAGGTGGACAGCAGAGAGGCAGAGGAACAGGAGGAGCCTGTTTCTAGTGCACGCATGTGAAGAGCTGCCAGAAGGCAAGAGCAGCTGAAGCAAAAAGGATGACTCGGGAGTAAGGCCAGAAGATGATTGGCCCCTCCTATAAGGCTTAAAAGAGCAGCAACGAGCCGTTGTGTTCTTTGTAGAAAAGCAACGTTGATTCCAGTGCTTCTTGTCAGCGTCTCTTGAATTTTGTGGGGTTTTTGCCAAGAAAAGCCTTTGGCAGGTTGGTGACATCAAAAACATCACAGGTTGGTGATAAGGCCGAAGGGCTGGTTATGAAGAATTTGTTTTGGACTAAGCTGAGAATGAGCTGTTTTATTAAAATAAGTTTGTTCAGGACTGAATTGTGTTTGGTAATCACTACTTGGGGCTGGGTCACAACAAAAATGTGTAGCTCACGGTTGAAATGAGGGATCCTTGGTGCTTTCTGACTTGATTGTGTTGTTGCAGACGTTTCATTACCCAAACTAGGAAACATCATCAGTGCACCAACCAACCTCAGAGGGTATCAAGGACCCCTCAATCCAACTTGTGTCTGCTGTGTCAAATTAAGATCTGAGTCAACCAGTATGAATGTAGAAGCAGGGAACCTTTTTCGGTCAAAGCCCTCATGATGAGATGGAATAATGACAGATGTCAACGTAGAGTATGTGGAAAAAGCTTCCAGGTGATCAATTTGTTTTTCACAGAAGGGGCCAGAATGAACAGCAGCTGAGAAAATGCATGGGAAAAGGATAGTTTTTCAAGGATTAGTGCCATATTTTTGTCTTTATGGTGTGTCAGAAGGGTGAGGGCAGGGAGGATGAGAGTAGGAGGAAAGGCTCCCTTACCGTCACGGCGACCCTGAACAGAAAGGAAAAAGAAAAACCAGTTCCAAAATGGAGGAAAACTTGAAACCTTTGGATTTTCCAGAAATTTTACCTCATAACGAGGCTCCTTAATTGAGAAATTAAGTGACTGGAGAAAAGGTGGAATTACAAAATTAAGAAAGGAAGATCAGAATATAAACATAAACAACGATGAAGAAAAAACCATTTTACATAGGGATTGCGTAGGAAATTCACCTCAACAAACATGACTAGGAAGCTTAAGCCCTCTGGAGAATTTAAGGCAGGGATATAGCATTAGATCATGAATATAAAGAGAAAATGAAAATGAAAAGATTCGACCGCATTTGATGTTGACAATGACACACAAAGCGGTTAGCTACAGTGAGCGAAAGAATTTAAAAGGATGGAAAAGAGGTTAAAATCCATTTAAAAAGATTATCATTTGGCCTGAAAGTGATGTGTGGTGGCCAATATTTAAGTGGTGTAGATTCCCCAATCATTTCAAGAAACTCCCTCTGATGTATATATCCACTAGAGCAGAGTTGCAAGCAGAAATGCAGTTAGTCTTAAATTCCTTACTATTGTTTCAGCTTTTCTTACTTTAATATTGTCGAAATCTGCCTTTCCACACTACTTCACATTATGTAATGCCAGTAATAACTGAAAAAGAATACCCTACGGAGAACGGGGTTATAGTGATGGTGAATTAAAGAATTGAACTCATAGGTTCTTTGTCCTAATTTTGTGGTGATCTTTCCTTGCCTTCCCTCAAGTTGCCCATCTCTGGACACCCACATTCTTATCAATATCTTTTTTTTTAGATAAAGAGTCTCCAGAACTGGACACAGTATTCCAAATGGAGTCTCACTAAAGCCCTGTGTAGAGGGACAGGAGCACCTTTTTCTTGACGGTGATACATCTGGTGATGCACCCTAGAATTTTGTTTGCCTTCACAGCTGCGTGGCCAGACTCTTTACTTCTTTTGCAGTTATTGTTTCAGGACCATGATAACTTATTTCACAAAATCATTTTCCTCATTGTCTCCCATCTTCCTCCCCTTCATGCCGGACTTCACAACATCTGCAAGACACAAGCTGTGATCCCAGAGAGCCTCCGGGTCCTCACCGCCTAGTCGTTTCTGACAGGATTTGGACCGTTTGGAGGCCTCCTCCAATCTCTGCCCAGCCTTCAGCATGGCTGTTCCTCAGGGAAGCGAATTCAAATTATCCAGATATTTTTCTCCATCTCCACAAACGGTTCTTGTACAGGAAGGAGGAGAAGATGGAGAAATTGCTTCCTCTGGAGACCACAAAGCTTTTCTTGGGCAGGGAGCCATTGAGAGGGTCCTTTAACCCTACTCTCATGCCTATCATCCGTGCCCTCTCCTTTCTCTTCAGACGCGCTCCTCTTTCCCGCCCTTTCTACAATCCTGGCACTTTGCGCCAAATCCACCAGGGGGCGCATTTTGCCAAGATGAGGGAACACCAGCCGCTTCCCCATTGGTCCACTGGAGGGCGAAGGTCACAATTGCCTTCCCGAGGAGGCTGTGAAGGAAGTGACATCAGAAACGCCGCTCTAGGAGCCCGCATATACTCGCCTTAACCACTGGTGCTCCGCAGGAGGGGGAGGCGCTGCGGGAGAGGGGGGGGAGCTCTAGACGTGCCTCAGGTAAGGTGGAAGCTCTTTCTGTGCAAAGGGAGGCGGAGGAGGGAGAGACCCAGCCCAGCCCTTCTCCGGCTTCAACCGCGGCTCCCATGCTCCCCAGCCGCCCTCTCCATTCGAAGAGCCCGAGTGGGGAAGGGGAGGGTCGGCCTTGCGGAGGCCCAGCAGGAGTGGAGAGAAGCCGGGCGAGGAGGAGGCAGGATTTGCACCAGGCTCCCCGATCGCCCGATCCTGTCTCCGGAGGGGGAGAGAAGTGGGGCGGCCTCTCCAGCTGCCTCCCTGCTCGGGGGGACCTCGGCTCTGCGCTGGGATGAGCCGCTTGGGGCTCCGGGCAGGTTGGGTGAAGGTTGTTCAATGGCTAAATTCTATTGTCTTAATTCTTGGTATTTATTTTTCCTTCCATCTCAGATACAGAAACTTGAAGCCATTTGAAATCTTTGCAAGGCAAAAGTTTCTCTTGCTGGGAAAAAAAAGAGCGGAATCCCTTGCAGGGATCATTCCTGCAGCCCCAGAAATGGTCCCGTGAAGGAAAAGGCATCTGGAGACCCACCAGAGTCCTTGGAGCCATTTGCAGTTGCTCTGCAGGACAGAGAAAGGATGGAGACACAACCTTTTGGAAAGGAGGGAAGCGGAAAAGGCCCTTCAGCTGCTCAGCCTTGGAAGGGGGGAAAGCTCTGGACAAGGACTGGGCAGAAGATCCTGGAGGAGGAAACCATCCTCCCTTCAGAAGTTCAGCCCTGGAACTTCATCCAATACCAGGAGGCTGAAGGTCCCCGAGGACTTTGCAGGCGACTCCATGACTTTTGTAGGCGATGGTTGAGACCCGAAAAGCACACCAAAGCCCAGATGTTGGACCTGGTGGTTCTGGAGCAGCTCCTGTTCCTTCTGCCTCCAGAGATGGAGAGCTGGGTGCGAGAGTGTGGAGCAGAGACCAGTTCCCAGGTGGTGGCCCTGGCTGAAGGCTTCCTCCTGAGCCAGGTGGAGGAGCAGAAGGAGCAGGTCGAGTTGCAGGTGAGACACTTTAATCTAGGGAGCCCAGAAGGGAATAGAGAATGTCTTTGAATAATTCACCCCTCCTTCCCAAACTTCTCTGACATTCATAATATATGGCAATGTCTCACCAATTCTAGTAGGACATTGTTCCATTTTATTCCCAAAACCCTCAAAACTTTTTTTTTATATATAAATTCCTTTTTTACAACTTTTTTGTAACAGTCATCTTCTAGTATTTACATCTTCTCCCATTTTCCCTTATACTGTACTTTTCCTTCTTGTCCCTTTTTCTCTTTTTTACATTATAATTCTTAACAATCATGATATTAATTTTGTATACTTTATACATTGTCCTATAAACTTTTTACATTTATGATTTCTCCCCTTTCATTATTGTTCACTATTTCTAATCTCCAGCCAGCTGTACATTTGTTCCATATTACATAGTATTACGTATCTTTAAGTTCTTTTGTTAATTTGTCTATCTCGGCAAACACTAAGATTTTTTTTATCACTTCTTCCTCTGTTGGTGTATTTTATTTTTCCAATTTTGTGCAAATGATATTCGTGCGGCCATTATAATATGTAAAATCAAGTATTTTATTTCTTTAGTATATTTTCTAGTAAATATTCCTAATAAAAATGTCTCTGGTTTTCTATCAATCGGTTGATCTGTTATTTTTTCTAGCCATTTCTTGATTTTAGCCCAAAATTTTTTTGTGGCCAGGAAAGTCCACCAAAGATGATAATATGTTTCCATAGATTTTATTGCATTTCCAACATATTGGCGAGCTGTTCAGGAACATTTTAGCAAGCCTTGCCAGTGGGAGGTGCCATCTGTAGAACATTTTCAACTGGTTCTCCTTGAATGCTGCAGACATAGTTAATTTTGTATTTATTTGCCACATTTTCTCTCATCTCTCCTGTTCTATATTATAATTAATTTTTTTGGCCCATTTAATCATTGTTTCTTTAACTACCTTGTCTTCCATCTTGTACTGCAGTAAAAATTTATAAATCCTACTAATTAATTTCTCCTCTATCCCTTGTATAATTTTGCCTAGTTCATGTTGCTCATTTTGTATTTCATATAATTTTGTATCTTCTCTATGTTTAGATTGAATTTGTGTATATGTCCACCAATCAATTTCCCTATTTAAATGCTGTTCTAATTCTTGTTTCGATTTCAAATTTCCTTGTTTTTTTAGCACATCCCTATATCTTATAATCTTATCCATCTCAATTAAATTTAGGTGTTTTAATGCTTCCATTGGTGAAATCCAGACTGGTATTTTTGAATAATTTTTTTATACAAAACCTGGTATTCCCCCCCCCCCTTTTTAAATGGAAATTTTAAATTTGGTCTTAAATTATTGGGGTTTTAAATTTTCAGCCAAATTATTTAATTCGTTTTACTTTATTTTAAATTTTGTACTCATATGTTTTATTCTATGGCTGTTCACCGCCCTGAGTCCTTCGGGAGTAGGGCGGTATACAAATTGAAATAAATAAATAAATAAATAAATAAAATAATGATTTTTTTTTATTTTTATCCAGATTTGTAGCGCTGCATTCCTTAATATGTGTCTTCTGAAATAACTATGTGTTTTGTGTTTTTCATCCCAAAGGAACGCATGCCATCCTACTTGTAAATCGTGTCCCTCTATTGCTAAGATTCATTTATCTCTTAATTCTATCCACTCTTTTAGCCAGGTTAGGATAAAAGATAATATAATTCCCATTCTGGAAGTGCTAATCCCCCTTTATCTTTTGTATCTTGTAAAAGTTTGAGTCTAATTCTTGGTCTTTTCCCCTGCCATATGAATTTAGTACCGTATTTTCCGGCTTATAAGACAACTGGGCGTATAAAACGACCCCCTACTTTTCCTGTTAAAATATAGGCTTTGGGCTATACTCGCCGTATAAGACTACCCCTCTTCCAACGTACACCAAATAAAAATTAAAAACATCAGATTTGATTTCAATATGGTAATTTTAATTCAAATGCTTATGACATGTAGGTACTTAGCAGGAAAACTGTCACTTATAAACATAAGGCTGTTTGTCATCAAACATGTAAGCATAAAACAGTGCAATTGGATTAAACTTTTCCTAATTCACTCTGAAGCTGAAAGGAAGGATAAGACAATAAACCCATGGGAGCTGCCATGCTGTTTGTTTTCTAAGCTGTCAACCAAATTGGAACTGATGATGATAGGAGGAAGATAACAAACAATAGAGAGCAAGTGCCGGGCAAGTCCCTGGCGAGTCAGCAACGCCCATCATAACTGCAAGCTATTTTTACAGGTTTTGCTGGCATGACAGTTTCCCTTTAAAAGCCTTCAAAATCCTCCTGTTCATCATCTGATATCATAAATACATCAATGACATCTTGTGATACATTTGTAAGGCAGTCATCGTATGGATCTAATTCCATATCAGATGGTGTGGTCTCAGCTTCGGCTTCCTCTTCATCTTGCCACAAGTAGTTGTCCTCCATACCATCTAATGAATTTGATATGCCACACTTCTTGAAAGACTTGATTACTGTTTCTGCATCAATATCATTCCAGGCTTTTATGACAAACTTGCACAAAACATCCAACTGTGGAGCACGCATGTTTCCTCCTTTTGTGAATGACTTTTCGCCGCTAACCATTCACTCATTCCACTGTTCTCGAATGCGATCTTTAAATGGCTTGTTTAGGCACACATCCAGTGGCTGTACCAACGATGTCAATCCTGCAGGAATAACTGCCGCATCTGTGTTTATTCTTGCAAGCCTTTGCTTAGTGTTGGGAGTTAAATGAGCCCTGAACATATCCCACACCAGTAGACTACGTTTTTGAATAAGTCCACCTCGCCTGCTCCATACATTATCAAGCCATAGCTTTACCCCTTCTTCATCCATCCAGCCTTTTTCATTCACATGTACAAAACAACCAACAGGGAACTTGAGTTTTGGCATTGTTTTTCTTTTAAAAATAATCATTGGTCTCAGTTTGGAGCCATCAGCTGTGCATGCTAGTACCACTGTAAAACTGGACTTCTCATATCCTGTTGTTTTAATTAAAATTGTTTTTTCACCTTTTGGATGGACAGTTTTATTTCCAATCATATCAAAATTCATTGGAGTTTCATCCATATTTCCAATACTACTTAACGCATAGCCATGTTTATTGCGCTGTTATATTATGTATCGATGGAAACTATTTACTTTGGCATCAAGATCTGCAGGCAATTTTTGTGCAATTTTCGTCTTTTGCCTCAGTACCATATTATGCCTTTCCAAGAATCTAGTACACCAGGATACAGTGGCCTTAAATCTGTTGCTGTGATCTGGGTTAGATTTGGCCCACTGAAGTGCAAACAAACGTATTTTATTTTGTGTCACTACATAACCGTTTTGGCGATGCTCATTCACCATGTCTGCTACATGTTTTTCGAGTTCTGGCCAATGTGGGGTGCCTCTTCTTAATGCACACTTATCCCTTGGCATACTCTTTAATGCTTTTACATTTGCTTTCCAGTCCTGAACCATCTTTTCTGTTACTCCATATTGCCTTGCAGCAGCACAGTTATTATATTCCATGGCAAAGTTTACAACTTTAAGTTTAAAACTGGCTTCATATTTCTTTCTTCTTGCTGGTGGAGCCATGATGGGGTATTGACTGTTAGCCATTTGTATACTGTACTGTATGTACTGATGCTGTACTGTATGAACCTGTTCTATTTGGAGAACAAAGTGTCTTAGCCAATTAGAGTAGGGCGGCAACAGTGACGACTGTGGGTAGGATGTAACCCTGAGGACTTAACAGAACCAGTACAGATACCTACGAGCCAGGCTGCCCATCTGTCAAGGTAACGGGCCACGTGTAGCGGCAAGAGGGCTATTTCGTATCAGGTTTTTTTCCTGTCACCCATGTCCTGTCACCCATGCAGCCTTGACGAGATCGGCGCAGCTTCCCCTCAATGTTGTCGGCATTCCCGTAGCGTCATTGGTCAGCATCGGCAACTCAGATTCGGGAAGCTGTGCCGATCTCGTCAAGGCTGCATGCCGCTGAATGCTGGACCCAGCTGGTTGCTGCGCGGAGCTTCCCCCACCGTCCCAGGCATCCAGGTGGATATTACCGACACTCTGACTTCCCCAGACCCCCAGTGATGGCGAGCCCCAGCTGTCTGGGGAAGTCGGAGCATCGGTAATATACACCTGGATGCCTGGGATGGTGGGGGAAGCTCCGCGCAGCAACCAGCTGGGTCCAGCATTCAGCGGCATGCAGCCTTGACGAGATCGGCACAGCTTCCCCTCAATGTTGTTGGCGCTCCCGTAGCGTCATTGGTCAGCGCCAGCAACTCAGATTCGGGTTAGAAATCTCTAGCAATGACTAGAGATGGTAGTAGCTGCTCTTACCACTTCCGTCAGTCTGTCAAGGTAGATATCGTAGGCTTATACCCGGCGTATAAAACAACCCCCGACTTTTGAGAAGATTTTCCTGTGTTAAAAAGTCGTCTTATACACCGGAAAATACGGTAACTATTTTATTTAAAGCTTCAAAAAAAAATTCTCTCATTTTATTGGAATAACCTGGAATAAAAATAGTATTTTTGGCAATATGTTCATTTTAATCGTAGCAATCCTCCCCAATAATGAGATCTGTAAGTTTTTCCAGTTTTCTAAGTCTTTTTTTTAATTTGCTGTAGAATTTTATCATAATTGTCTTCTTTAATTGAGGAACATTTTGCTATAAACCAAATCACTAAATATTTTATTTTCTTGGTTGTTTATATTTTTATACCACGTTCCAATTCTTTTTCTTGATTTTTTCTAAGATTTTTAGTTATTAATTTGGATTTATTTTTATTAATCTTGAGTCCCGCTACTTCACCAAATTCTTCTATTTGTTGTATCAATTTTGGTCCTGGTTCTAATGGTTCCTCCAGTATAAACACCAAATCATCAGCAAAAGCCTGTACCTTATATTCTTCTTTCTTTATTCTTAGACCTTTTATTTCTTGGTCTTCCCTCAAAACTTTAACCTTAGACTGTCTACTGTTGACCTCACCCCATTCTTAAGAAGTCTGTAAGGGGCGTGCATAAGCGCACCATCGTGCCTACCGTCCCTGTCCTAATGTCCCTTTTTACTCGTATCCTTTTCATGTATTCAAATCATCTTTATACTTTTATCTGTTATTTTATATATGCTTGACAAATACAGAATCTATCAAACAAACAAACGTCACTGATGGATATTGGGAACTTTGAGGTTGTGTTCCGAATATAAGAATCCATTTATTTCATGTGATGTACATTTATTCTGCTTCATTTTTCTTTCCTCCTATTTGAAGTGCTGCACTGTGGAGATCAGAGATCCTGAGGGAAAGAAGAACCCATCAAATCCCACTCAGGAGCTATTTTTCAGGGGGATCCCTTGGGAAGATCCAAGTCAGGACACCTCAGGAGGTAATCAAAGATCCTCCGATTACCCATCTGTCTTACCTTCACTGTCTCTTCTCTTCTATAGAATATCTCCTCCTATTTTATTAATTACGCATTTTGAAATTTTTTATTCCTTACAGAGAAACAAAGCATGAACTTTTCTGTTTTTTATGATGGAGATCAAACAGCGGTTGAACCTCCAAATCAAGTAAGAAAGGGAAAAGTTATTAGATTTGTATTCTCCCTTCAGGAAGTGAAGTGGATGTGCAGACTGGTCTCTCCTTCTATTCCCCCCACCCCCCCACCCCCGTTTGGACTGGGTTATCTTTGTGTTCTTCCACAACATGGACATCACAATAGCAGGTTCAAGTTGCTGTCAGCCAGCATAACTTCCTCTGGTTATCTTGTTCTGCTACGTACTCCTCCAACTTTGAGTTTACAAGAAGCAATTTTTTAAAAGTCCTTCAAGAAATAGGAATAAACGTATCACAGTGGCAGGAACTGCTAGAGTCCCATTCTTTTTGTAATTATTTGACTTGGAATTGTGCAAGGCTAATGAAAAATAACTAAATTCTCACATGGCCACATTACCATTTTTAAAAAGCCTTGTTCATAACCTGTACTTCAAAACAAGCAAATCATATTAAAAAATAAGGCAGACTATTAAAATCCAAATAGAATGGCCACATAGAGCAATCAAGGTACTTTCAACTACAAAATAATTTCCAATCCTCTGATTTGTGCCTGGATTAGGAGATCAAATATTTCCGCTTTGCAAAGGCTGAGAAATGACTTTCATAGGGAATTTTCTCTTCTTTGTTTTCTTCCATTCAGTCAATGGCTCAGACTACTAGATCAATCAATGATAGACAGAACGATAGATCAGTTGATCCAGAAGTGGGATTACTTTACTGAAAGGAACTGAAGGTTTTGCAGAATCAATCAGCACCCATTTTCTGGAGGCAAGTCATTCCACTGATTAATTGTTCTCACTGACCTCCTCTTCTTTGTGGAAGCCCCTGAGATATTGCAACACTGCTATCATGTCACCCCTAGTCCTTCTTTTCATTAAACTAGACGTACCCAATTCCAGCAACCGTTCATAATAATAATAATAATAATAATAATAATAATAATAATAATAATAATAATAATAATAATAATAATAATAATAATAATAATAATTTTATTTCTATACCGCCCTTCTCCCGAAGGACTCAGGGTGGTGTACAGCCAATTTAAAAACACAAGACAAAACAATGATTAAAAATTAAAATAATTAAATAAATTTGGCCCGATTTAAAACCCCAAAAATTTAAAATACCCCAATTTAAAATTATTGTGTTGATAGCCCGGCCTGGCGGAACAACAGGGTCTTCAGTGCGCAGCGAAACACCCGGAGGTTGGAGATCTTACGTATTTCCGGGGGCAATTCATTCCACAGGGCTGGGGCTCCCACAGAGAAGGCTCTCCCCCTGGGTGTTGCCAGCCAACATAACTTGGCTGATGGAACCCTGAGGAGACCCTCTCTGTGGGAGCGAACTGGCCGGTGGGAGGCTATTGGTGGCAGAAGTAGGTCTCGAAGGTACCTGGGTCCTGTGCCGTGTGATCTTGATTCCATCCCCCTCTTAATGTAGCCTATGATTGGGTTGGGGTTATACTGCTGAGCTGACTCATGTTTAAGTGATTGTCCACTAGGACTCCAAGATCCCTGTTGCACTTTCTACTTTTGAGCCAGGTATCACCTATTCTATGCCAGTGCATTTGGTTTTTCTTTCCTAAATGTAGCACATTACATTTCTCACCATTGAATTTCATTTTGTTAAAAGGTGCCAATCTGTCAATCCTATATCTCAGGCCTATCTTGTGGAGTGTTGGTATTCCTGTCAATTTGGTCTTGTCTGCAAATTTGATGAGTTCCCCTTCTATCCCCTTGTCTAAATCATTGATGAAGTTGAACAGATCTTGCAAATCCTCCTGTTCTGTTCTTTCTTCTGTGTTCAGGAGAGTCTTGTGTCCTTCGAGGAGGTGGCTGTGTATTTGTCTGAGGAGGAATGGTCTCAGCTGGATTCTGACCAAAAAGCCCTGCATTTGGAAGTCATGCTTGAAAACCATAGGAACGTGGTCTCTCTGGGTAAGAGTTATCTAGTTCCCAATCAGAGAGTTCAGGAAGACAGATTATAGTTAGGTTTTTTTATTGAAAAATCACTAATCAGATATTGTCTCCTGTGAGGGAGAAGAAAAAGATTTTGCCTTTTCATACTCCAAGGAAGAAAGAGGCAATGTCTCTTTGCTTACATGCTTTCTGTGCAGTGGTGGGTTCCTCCCGGTTCCGCCGAGCCGGTAGTGGTGACGATATGATGTCACTGAACTGGTTCTGCCCCACCCCCACCCCCGCGTTATTCTTACCTTTTATTTGGCCCCACCCCCAATCTATTGCTGCCTCCTGAGTTCCAGCTGATGGCTAGAGGGAAAAAAACTCTTTAAACTTTTGCCGCGGGGCTTCAAAGGGCCGCTCTACAGCTGATCAGTGTTAAAAGAAAACAAATGAGTAGACCGGTGCCTGCAAAAATACATGAGTAGACCAGTGCCTGCAAAAAGAAATGGATAGATCGGTACAGCTCTGCAAGCAGTTAAAAGCCTGGTAGACAAGTACCTCTGCTAAATCCTAAATAATTGTAACATGACCATCAAGCCACGCCCACAATATAAACCATGCCCACATAACCGGTAGTAAAAAAATTTAGAACCCACCCCTGTTTCTGTGCCATTTCTTGTCTGGATTTTTCCATTTCTATTTGAATTTATCTGTGGAGGCTTTAAAGAAGATGTGCTTTTATGTGTCCTCTGGAGGTCATGTGAGAGGAATGTGTTGTCATCTGTCCTCTGAAACCTCCCCAAATTTTGTGAGAACAGAATTGTCACGCTCAGGCCATGGAAGAGCATTCTCCCAATCCAATTCAAGAATGAAAGCCTCATGCAATGTGACTCAGAGCATCTTAGACTATAGTTAATCAACGAGTTACGACAGTTCATTGAGCGACCATTCCAAGTTACAACCTAGCCCTTCCCCAAGTACTCACACTTATGAATGACAGTAGAGGCGCTGGAACAACATTCGCCCTGCCTATGACTCCATTCCATCACGCTGGGACTTACGTTGTGGTGATGCAGCGAGCTGTCGGTTCCTTTCCCTGCTTCGCTACATTTGCAGAAAAAAGAGGCCTAAAGTAGTGAGAGATATGTGAGATCAATAGTGGGAAATCTTGCACTACTAATCTCACATGATCTCACACTATAGTACTTTAGGCCTCTGTTCTCTGCTAACCAAGGCCTGCACAAGATCCAGGGCAAAATTCTTTGTAAACAGAGGGAAGGCCTCTTCATTTTCAAAGGCTTTTGCCCTGGATCTCGTGCAGTCCTCAGTTGAACACAGGCCAAAAGTATTGCAGTACGACATCATGCGAGATTAGTAGCCTGAGATCTTGCAGTACTGGTCTCGTTTACAAGCCTTCAAGCAAGGGATTTAGCTCCAAAATCCCATCGCTGAGATCAAGGAATAAATTGAGCGGGGGTCCCGTCAAACAGACGTCGTGGAGCAGCTGCTCCAAAGTATACCGGGGAAGAAGGAGGCTTATTTTAAAATTATTTCAGTTTTCACATGTCTCTGCTGAAATTAAGCACCAAAATAAATCTTAAGTTGTCTTCTAATTCCTCCTTGGATGTTTCCCCTGATTATTTCTTAACTCAAAACTGACTGAGTGAGATTTCCATATATATTGATAATTGGAAAGAAAGATGTTTTCTAGATATTTTCAAAGCTTCCATGACTCATGAATATATCATATCAAATATATCAAATATGAATATCAAATCTATATCACACCACTGTAAACATGCAAACATACAACCTAATGGACTTTCAGAAAAATTCAGAAGGAAATTCACTTGACTTTCTAGAGTTTGATGTTTTTCTCTAAGCTTTTTATCATTTTCATTTCCCTTTTGCTTTGAAGGTAATAATGGGCAGGAGAATCAAGATTCCTGGGAACTGTTCCAAGTGATCAATGCTAAAGATGGAACAGAGAAGTTTGGAATTCAAATGGAATTTGAAAGCCATGAGAGAAACCAGTCAAATAATTGGAATTTGGATACTTCATCTTCCACTGATGCTATGATACAAGACTTTCTTGCCCAACAAGAGAGATCATATAAATGCATGGAGTGTGGAAAGACCTTTGCTCTGAGCAGTAGACTTACTGTCCACAAAAAGATCCACACAGGGGAAAAGCCACATAAATGCATGGAATGTGGAAAGACTTTTACTCAAAGAGGTAATCTTATTTCCCATAAGATGATCCACACAGGAGAGAAACCATATACATGCATGGAGTGTGGAAAGACCTTTGCTCAACGCAGTTATCTTGCTTCCCATAAAAAGATCCACACAGGAGAAAAGCCGTATAAATGCATGGAGTGTGGAAAGACCTTTCCTCTGAGCAGTAGACTTACTATCCACAAAAAGATCCACACTGGGGAAAAGCCATTTAAATGCATGGAGTGTGGAAAGACCTTTACTCGAAGAGATCATCTTATTTCCCATAAGATGATCCACACAGGGGAGAAGCCACATAAATGCATGCAGTGCGGGAAAACCTTTACTCATAGCAGAGGACTTACTATCCACAAAAAGCTCCACACAGGAGAGAAACCATATAAATGTATGGAGTGTGGAAAGACCTTTGTTCTGAGCAGTAGGCTCACTATCCACAAAAAGATCCATACAGGAGAAAAGCCGTATGAATGCATTGAGTGTGGAAAGACCTTTGCTCTGAGCAGGAGACTCACTATCCACAAAAAGATCCACACAGGAGAAAAGCCGTATAAATGCATGGAGTGTGGAAAGACCTTTGCTCTGAACAGTAGACTCGCTATCCACAAAAAGATCCACACAGGGGAGAAGCCGTATGAATGCATGGAGTGTGGAAAGACCTTTGCTCAAAGAGGTAATCTTATTTCCCATAAAATGACCCACATAGGGGAGAAGCTGTATGAATGTATAGAGTGCGGAAAGAAATTTGCTCAACGCAGTTATCTTGCTTCCCATAAAAGAATCCACACAGCTGAGAAACCATATAAATGTATGAATTGTGGAAAGACCTTTGCTCAACGCAGTTATCTTGCTTCCCATAAAAAAATCCACACAGTGGAGAAGCCATATAAATGCATGGAATGTGGAAAAAGCTTTGCTCGGAATCGTAGTCTTACTTCTCATAAAAGGATCCATACTCAGGAGGAACTACATAGTAATAGCAATTTCACCACTCCACAGTGCTTTGCGGGACTCTAAGAGATTTACAAAGTCAGCATATTGTCCCCAGCAATCTGGGCCCTCATTTTACTGACCTCAAAAAGATGAAATGCTGAATCAACCTTGAGCCGGTCAGGATCGATCTCCTAGGCTGTGCGCTATTAGCCTGTAGTACTGCATCCTAACCTCTGCCCCACCATGTCTCTACATATTTTTATGCATATGCATATTTTGCCTTTCTGATCCAAATGAGACTAGGTGAATCCAACAAAATGAAATGTAATGTGGAGAAAAGGAACATTTTACACCTGGGCAGGAAAAACAGATTAGGTGAAACCTGGCAGAAAAACAGTAACTGTGAGAGGGGCCTTGGAGTCCTAATGGATGATCACTTAAGTATTAGTCAGCCATGTGCGGCAGAAGCCAAAAAAGCTAATACAATTCTTGGTTGTATAAGCAGAGTTATAGAATCAAAGTCACGTCAAGTATTAGTACCACTTCATAAAGCCTTAGTAAGACCTCACCTAGAATACTGCATCTAGTTTTGGCTATCGTGTTACAAAAAATATGTTGAGACTTTTGGAAGAAGTGAAAAGAATAGCTATGCTGATTTAAAGCCTAAAGCCTAAAGCAAGAATGGTTGCAGAATTTGAATTAGGCTAGTCTAGAGAAAAGAAGGATTAGGAGTGAAATGATAGCAATGTTCTGGTATTTCAGAGGTTGCCACAAAGAGGAGGGAGCAACCCCCCCCCAAAGCACCAGAGGGCAAGACAAGAAACAATGGATAGAAACTAATCAAGGAGAGAAGCAACCTGGAATTTCCTTACACTGAGTTCAGTTAACCACTGAAACAGCCTGCCTTTAGACATTGTGTTGCTTTCATCATTGGACATTTTAAAGAAGAGACTGGACGATCACTTGTGTGAAATGATATAGGATCTCCTGCTTGAGCTGGACTAGAAGAGCTCCAAGTTCCCTTCCAGCTCTGTTCTGATTTTGATTCTGAATCCTCAGTCCTTTCTTGTGCTTTTTCTCTAAGTAGGAGGTTTTAAAGCAAACATGAGCATCAATGGAGATTAAGATTATCATTTGGCCTGAAAGTGATGTGTGGTGGCCAATATTTAAGTGGTGTAGATTCCCCAATCATTTCAAGAAACTCCCTCTGATGTGTATATCCACTAGAGCAGAGTTGCAGGCAGAAATGCAATTAGTCTTGAATCCCTTACTATTGTTTCAGCTTTTCTTACTTTGCTTACTATTGTCAGTTTGCCTTTCCACCCTGCTTCACATTATGTAACACAAGTAATAACTGAGAAAGAAAACCATAAGGAGGATGGTTATAGTGATGCTGAATTAGAAAATCCAACTCATGGGCTCTGTCGTAATTTTGTGATGATCTTTCCTTGCCTTCCCTCATGTTGCCCATCTCTGGACACCCACAATCTTATCAATATCTTTTTTTAAAGTACTCACAGTATTCCAAAGCCTTATATAGAGAGATAGGAGCACCTTTTTGTTGACGGTGATGCATCCTAGAATTTTGTTTGCTTTCACAGCTGGGTGGCCAGACTCTTTACTTCTTTTTCAGTTATCATTGTTTCAGTGCCATGGTAACTTCTTTCACATATTTCTGTAAAAAAAGTGTTGCTTGTAGTCATTTATTAAAACATAGAATAGTTCTAACATTGTGGAAATATGCATACCTTTGTGTCTGTTCCAACCTTCCTCCACACAGGAGGAAGTGTTAAAGCAAGAAATGTCAACTCTCAAAACAACCCTAGATGAAGCCATATCGTAATTTAGATTATTATGTATATTCCTTTTTCACCAATTCCCTTTCTTTCATCAGAAGAGGCTAGAGGGGTCTCTTCCTCTTCAGGTCCCCCCTTCGCTGTGAGGTTGAGGGAATAATTTGAGGGGCAGCGGTATTTATTGAATTAAACAAATCAATAAACAATCATTTTCCTCATGGTGGCCTTTCCTGCCTGTGTCCCATTTTCCTCCCCTTCAGGTGGGAGTTCTCAACAACACAAAACACAAGTTGTGTTTCCCAGAGAGCCTCTTGGTCCTTCTCTTCTGACAGCCCGGCTGTTTCTGACAGGATTTGGATCGTTTTGAGGCTGCCTCCCATCTCTGCCCAGCCTTCAGGGCGGCTGTACCTGAGGGAAGCAAGTTCAAATCCTCCAGAGAGATTTTTCTCCATCTCCACAGACGGTTCGCAAACAGGAAGGAGAGGAAGATGGAGAAATTGATGCCTCTGGAGACCGCCAAGCTTTTTTTCGGCAGGAAGGAATTGTGAGGGGCTTTCCACACTACTTCCATGCCCATCATCCCTGCCCTCTCCGTTCTCCTTAGGCGCGCTCCTCTTTCCCGCCCTTTCTACAATCCTGGCACTTTGCGCCAAATCCACCAGGGGGCGCGCTCGACCAAGAGAATGGAACACCAGTCGCTTCCCCATTGGTCCCCTGGAGAACGAACAGTTGCCTTTCCAGAGGAGGCGGCGACGTGAGTGACGTCACAAACGCTTGCTGCTCTAGGAGGCTGCACTCGCTCTCCTTAACCCTCGGGGCTCCGCAGGAGGCGGAGAGTGTGGCGGGGGAGATCCAGACGTGCCTCGGGTGAGTTGGGGGCTCTTCCCGGGCAAAGGGAGGCGGGGGAGGGAGAGATTCTCCAGTTTCAACCCCAGATCCCATGCTCCCCAGCTGCCCCGTGTCCGGGGAAGAGCCCGAGTATGGGGAGGGGAGGGTCGGCCTTGCGGAGGCCCAGCAGGAGAGGAGAAAAGCCGGGCGAGGAGGAGGCAGGATTCGCACCAGGCTCCCTGTCTCCGGAGGGGGAGAGAAGCGGGGTGGCCTCTCCAGCTGCCTCCTTCCCGGCCCTGCGCTGGGATGACCCACTTGGGACTCCGGGCAGGTTGGGTGAAGGTCGCTCAGTGCAGTGGTGAAATCCAAATTTTTTTACTACTGGATCTGTGGGCGTGACTTGGTGGGCATGGTTTGGGCGTGGCAGGGGAAGGATACTGCAAAATCTCCATTCCCACCCCCTTTGGGCCCAGCCAGAGGTGGTATTTGCCGGTTCTCTGAACTGCTCAAAATTTCCACTACCGGTTTTCCAGAACCTGTCAGAACCTGCTGAATTTCATCCCTGGTTCAGTGGCTAGATTCTACTTTCTAATTCTTGGTATTTATTTTTCTTTCCATCTCAGATACAGAAACTTGAAGCCATTTGAAATCTTTGCAAGCCAAACATTTTTTCTTGGGGGGCAAAAAAAAGAGCGGAATCACTTGCAGGGATCAGTCCTGCAGCCCCAGAAATGGTCCCGTGAAGGAAAACACATCTGGAGACCCACAAGAGTCCTTGGACCCATTTGGAGTTGCTCTGCAGGACAGAGAAAGGATGGAGACACAACCTTTTGGAAAGGAGGGAAGCGGAAAAGGCCCTTCAGCTGCTCAGCTTGGGAAGGGGGGGAAGCTCTGGACAAGGACTGGGCAGGAGATCCTGGAGGAGGAAACCATCCTCCCTTCAGAAGTTCAGCCCTGGAACTTCATCCAATACCAGGAGGCAGAGGGTCCCCGTGAACTTTGCAGACGACTCCATGACTTTTGTAGACGATGGCTGAGACCAGAAAAGCACACCAAAGCCCAGATGCTGGACCTGGTTATTCTGGAGCAGCTCCTGTTCCTTCTGCCCCCAGAGATGGAGGGTTGGGTGCGGGAATGTGGAGCAGAGACCAGTTCCCAGGTGGTGGCCCTGGCTGAAGGCTTCCTCCTGAGCCAGGCAGAGGACCAGAAGGAGCAGGTCGAGTTTCAGGTGAGAGACTTTAATCTAGGGCAGGGGTCTGCAACCTTAAACACTCAAAGTCATTTGGACACATTTCCCAGAGAAAAGAAAACACTGGGAGCCACAAAACCTGGATGGGCGTGGCCAACTCAATGTCATTTCCACTGAGTAACATGAACCCCCCCAGCCAAGCCTACCCAGGTTTAGTGGCCCCCATGTTTTCTGTGGGAAATGGCTCTCTCTCTCTCTCCCTCTCTCTCTCTCTCTCCCTCCCTCCCTCCCTCTCATTTCTGTTTTTCTCTCTTTTTCCTCTTCCCCTCCCTCCCTCCCTCTCTCTTCCTTTCCTACCCTTTCCTTCCCTTTCTTTCCCCTCTCTTTCTTTCTCATTGAATACGATAGCAAGTCCAAATTAAAGTTATTAATTGGGGGGATTGCTTCTCCGTAATCTTTTCATAGTGAACTCTTAATTTGGTAGAAGCTGGCAAGGTTGTACTAACAACAATTGCATATATATTTTTGTTTCTTTTGAGTTTGACAATATAATGCATGATCAAAAATTATAAATAATCTTATTTTTAGATGCATTTTTGCCATCTCTGTTATTTCCTTTTTTAAAAAAAATCAGACTTGCTCCAAATTTGTGCCTTCTGGCAAACTGCAGTTTTCTTGGCAAGAGATCTAGCTTGCCATTACTTTCGTCATAGGCTTTCCTTCCTTCCCTCTTTCTTCCTTTCTCTCCCCTTCTCTCTCTCATTTATTTCTCCCTCTCATTCTCTCCCTCCAGCTCTCTCATTTCTCTCTCCCTCTCTCTGTCTCATTTGTTTCTCTTTTTCCTCATTATTTCCTCATTTCTCGTTCTCGTTCTCTCCAGCGCATCAGAGCTGGAACTCTGCCCTCCCTGTATCCCCGTTCCCCTCTTTCCTGAGCCAACATAAAGGGGACCGCAGCAGGCACTGAACTGCCCATGAAGGATGCGGAATTGCAAAAAGCTGGTTGCCGGCAGTGGGGAAAAATGCTATGGGCGCTTCAGCTGCGCGGCTCTGCAGGGAGGCTCACACATCCTCAGAGTGGAGAGCAGGTCACGTGACCAGGTTGGCAGGGAGCCGCAGGAGAGGGGTCAAAAAGCTACAAGCAGCTCTAGAGCCAATGTTTGCCAACATCCAAAATAGGGAGCTCAAAAGGGAATAGAGAATGTGTTTGAATACTTCACCACTCCTCCCCAAACTTCTCTGATACTCATAATATGTGGCAATGTCCCACAAATTCTTGTAGGACATTTTCCATTGTTTTCTCACTCAACCTCACTGGTGAATATTGGGGGCTTTGAGATTGCGTTCCGAATATAAGAATTCGCTTTATTTCGTGTGATGTACATTAATTCTTCTTTTCTCCTTCCTCCTATTTGAAGTGCTTCAATGGGGAGATCAGAGATCCTGAGGGAAAGAAGAATTCATCAAATCCCCCTCAAGACCTATTTTTCAGGAGGATCCCTTGGGAAGATCCAAGTCAGAACACCTTAGGAGGTAATGGAGGATCCTCCTATTACCCATCTGCCTTACGTTCACTCTCCTCTTCTATAGAATATCTCCTCCTATTTTGTTAAATATGCATTTTGAAATTATTTATTCTTTACAGAGAAAAAATACATGAAGTTTTCTGGTTTTTCTGGCAGAGATCAAACAGCGGTTGAATCTCCAAATCAAGTAAGAAAGGGAAAAGTTATTAGATTTGTATTCTCCCTTCGGGAAGTGAATCGGGTGTGCGGAGGGCTGTCTCCTTCTATTTTCCCCTCTTGTTTGGCCTGGATTATTTTTGTGTTCTTCCACAATATGGAGAGCAGAGTAGCAGGTTCAAGTTCCTGTCAGCCAGCATAGCTTCCTCTGGTTATCTTGTTCTGCTAGGTACTCCTCCAACTTTGAGTTTACAAAAAGCAATTTTTAAAAAGTCCTTCAAGAAATAGGAATAAACGTATCATAGTGGCTGAAACTGCTAGAGACCCCCCCTTTTTTATTGGTAATTCTTTGACTCGGAATTGTGCAAGGCTAATAAAAAATAAATAAAAACATTGCCGCATTACCATTTTTAAAAAGCCTTGTTTATAACCTGTAGTTCAAAAACAAGCAAATCATATTAAAAAATAAGGCAGAGTATTACAATACAAAGGGAGTGGCTGTGTTGAGCATGTAATCAAGGTACTTTCAACTACAAATAATTTCCAATCCTCTGATTTGCACCTCAATTAGGAGATCAAACATTCACGTTTTGCAAAGACTGAGAAATGACTTTCCCAGAGAATTTTCTCTTCTTTGTTTTCTTCCATTCAGCCAATGGCTCAGACTACTAGATCAGTCAAAGATAGCGGTAGATCAGATGATCCAAAAGTGGGATTACTTTACTGAAAGGCACTGAATATTTTGCAGAATCCATCAACCTGATAAAACTTCTCCAAATATTTCTTCAATTAAAGAAATGTTCATATTTGACCATTTTCTCACCTAAAATGAGGACTTGTGTGACGCACAGCCATTTAACTCTGTGCATATCTTGCTTTGGGAATTTAGGAACAATGGAACAGAATAACAAAGTTGGTAGGTATCTTAGAGGTCTTCTAGTCTAACCCCCTGCTCAGACAGGAAGCCCTATAACATTTCAGATAAATGGCTGTACAATTTCTTCATAAACATGTCCAGTGTTGGAGCACTCACAATTTCTTGGAGGCAAGTCATTCCACTGATTGTTTTTACTGGCCTCCTCTTCTTTGTGGCATCCCCTGAGATCTTGGAACACTGCTACCATGTTATTCCTAGTCCTTCTTTTCATTAAAATAGACATACCCAATACCAGCAACCATTCTTTTTATGTTTTAGCCTCCAGGATCCTAATCATTTTGGTTGCTCTTCTCTGCACTCTTTCTAGAGTCTCAAGATCTTTTTTACATCTGGCAACCAAAACTGGATGCAATATTCCAAATGTGGTTTTACCAAGGCATTATAAAGCGGTACTAACACTTCATGTGATCTTGATTCTATCCCCCTTAATGCAGCCTATGATTGGGTTGGGGTTATACTGCTGAGCTGACACATGTTTAAGTGATTGTCCACTAGAACTCCAAGATCCCTGTAGCATTTTCTACTGTTCAGCCAGTTATCACTTATTCTATGCTTGTGCATTTGGTTTTTCTTTCCTAAATGGAGAACCTTACATTTCTTAACGTTGTTTTTCATTTTGTTAAATGGGGCCCATATCTGTGATCCTATATCTCAAGTTAGATAACTTCTGGAGTGTTGGTATTCCTGTCAATTTAGTCTTGTCTGCAAATTTGATGAGTTCCCCTTGTCTAAATCATTGATGAAGTTGAACAGATCTTGCAAATCCTCCTGTTCTGTTCTTTTCTCCGTGTTCAGGAGAGTCTTGTGTCCTTCGAGCAAGTGGCTGTGTATTTCTCTGAGGAGGAATGGTCTCAGCTGGATCCGGACCAAAAAGTGCTGCATTCAGAAGTCATGCTTGAAAACCATAGGAATGTGGTCTCTCTGGGTAAGAGTTTTCTAGTTCCCAATCAGAGAGTTCAAGAAGACAGATTATAGCTTTTTTATTAAAAAATCAGTGATCAGATATTGTCTCCTGTGAAGGAGAAGAAAAGGATCTGGCCTTCTCGTACTCTAAGGAAGGAAAGAGTCAATGTCTCTTTGCTTCCATGGTTTCTGTGCCATTTCTTATCTGTATATGTTCCACTTCTATTTGAACGTATCTGTGGAGGCTGAAAAGAATGAGATGTGATTTTATGTGTCCTCTGGAGGTCAAGTGAGAGGGATGTGTTGTCATTTGTCCTCTGAAACTTCTCCAAATTGTGTGAGAACAGAACTTTCATGCTCAGGCCATGGAAGAGCATTCTCCCAATCCAATTCAAGAACAAAGGCCTCATGCAGTGTGACTCAAAGCATCTTAGGGTACAGGTGATCCCTGAGTTACGACAGTTCACAAAGCAACTGTTTCAAGCCACAACCTAGCCCTTCCCCAAGTACCCAGTCCCGAAATTACGAATGTTTCGACACCACAGCCGTCATTCACATTTATGAATAACAGCAGAGGCACTGCAACAATATTCGCCCTACCTATACCCCCTTTACTTGCCTATACCTACCTATATGTTGCAGTGATGTAGCGAGCCATCAGTTCCTTTGCCTGCTTTGTTGCATTTGCAGAAAAAAGAGACCTAAAGTAATGAGAGATATGTGAGATCAGTAGTGGGAAATCTTGCACTAATTTCACATGATCTCATACTATAGTACTTTAGGCCTCTGTTCCCTGCTAACCAAGGCCTGCACGAGATCCAGGGCAAAATTCTTTGCAAACAGAGGGAAGGCCTCTTCATTTTCAAAGGCTTTTGCCCTGGATCTCGTGCAGTCCTCAGTTCTTGGAAGAACAAAGGCCAAAAGTATTGCAGTGTGACATCATGCGAGATTAGTAGCCTGAGATCTTGTAGTACTGGTCTCGTTTACAAGCCAAAGGGACGCTTCAAGCAAGGGATTTAGCTCCAAAATCCCATCACTGAGATCACAGAATAGGTTGAGCAGGGGTCCTGTCAGACAGAGGCCGTGGAGCAGCTGCTCCAAAGTATACCGGAGAAGAAGGAACTTATTTTAAAATGATTTCAGTTCTCATAGGTCTCTTCTGAAATTAACCCACCCCAATGAATCTTAATTTGTCTCCTAATTCCTCCTTGGATGTTTCCATTGATTATTCCTTAACCGAAAACTGACTTTGAGTGAGATTTGCATATATATAGATAATTGTAAAGAAAGAGATGTTTCCTAGATATTTTCAAAGCTTTCGTGACTCATGGATATAGAAATCACCAAGTCTATATCATACCACAGTAAGCATGCAAAATACAACCTAATGGACTTTCAGAAGAATTCAGAAGGAAATTCACTTGACATTGTATGGTTTGATCTTTTTCTCTGACCTTGTTACCGTTTTCATTTCTCTTTTGCTTTGAAGGTGATAATGGGCAGGAGAATCAAGATTCCTGTGGACTGTTCCAAGTGATCAATGCTAAAGATGGAACGGAGAAGTTTGCAATTGGAATGGAATTAGAAAACCATGAGAGAAACCAGTCAAATAATTGGAATCAGGAAAGCTCATCTTCCACCGATGCTATGATACAAGACTTTCTTGCCCAACAAGAGAGATCATATAAATGCATGGAGTGTGGAAAGACCTTTGGTATGAGCAGTAGACTTACTGTCCACAAAAAGATCCACACAGGGGAAAAGCCACATAAATGCATGGAGTGTGGAAAGACCTTTGCCCAACGCAGTTATCTTGCTTCCCATAAAAAGATCCACACAGGGGAAAAGCCATTTAACTGCATGGAATGTGGAAAGACCTTTGCTCGAAGAGATCATCTTATTTACCATAAGATGATCCACACAGGGGAGAAGCCGTATAAATGCATACAGTGTGGGAAAACCTTTACTCATAGCAGAGGACTTACTATCCACAAAAAGCTCCACACAGGAGAGAAACCATATAAATGTATGGAGTGTGGAAAGACCTTTGTCCTAAGCAGTAGACTCACCATCCACAAAAAGATCCACACAGGAGAAAAGCCGTATAAATGCATCGAGTGTGGAAAGACCTTTGCTCATAGCAGTGGACTCGGAAGACACAAAACGATACACACAGGAGAGAAACCATATAAATGCATGGAGTGTGGAAAGACCTTTGCTCAATGCAGGTATCTTGCTTCCCATAAAAAAATCCACACAGAAGAGAAGCCGTATGAATGCATGGAGTGTGGAAAGACCTTTGCTCAAAGACGTAATCTTATTTCCCATAAAATGACCCACATAGGGGAGAAGCCGTATGAATGTATAGAGTGTGGAAAGAAGTTTGCTCAACACAGTTGTTTTGCTTCCCATAAAAAAATCCATACAGTGGAGAAGCCGTATAAATGCATGGAACGTGGAAAGAGCTTTGCTCAGAGTTGTACTCTTACTTCTCATAAAAGGATCCACGCTCAGGAAAAACTATATAAGTAATAGCAATTTCACCTAGACTGATATACCACTCCACAATGCTTTGTGGCACTCTACGTAACCGGGAATTTCCTTACAGTGAGTTCACTGAAACAGCTTGCCTTTACACATTGTGGGTGCTTCATTTTAAAGAAGAGACTGGACGATCACTTGTGTGAAATGATATAGGATCTCCTGCTTGAGCTGGACTAGAAGAGCTCCAATGTCCCTTCCAGCTCTGTTCTGATTTTGATTCTGAATCCTCAGTCCTTTCTTGTGCTTTTTCTCTAAGTAGGAGGTTTTAAAGCAAACACGAGCATCAGTGGAGGTTAAGGTTATCGTTTGCCCTGTATGTGATGTGTGGATGCCAATATTTAAGTGGGTGCATATGTCCTAATGGTTTCAAGAAAGTCCCTTTGATTAGTATATCCACTAGAGCAGAGTTGCAGGCAAAAATGCAATTAGTCTTGAATCCCTTACTACTGTTTCAGCATTTCTTACTTTGCTTAATATTGTCTCAGTCTGCCTTTCCACCCTGGTTCACATTATGTAATGCACGTAATAACAGAGAAAGAAAACCATAAGGAGGTTATAGTGATGCTGAATTAGAAAATCCAACTCATGGGCTCTTTCTCCAAATTTTCTGGTGATCCTTCTTTGGCTTTCCTCATGTTGCCCATATCTGGACACACACAATCTTCTCAATATCTTTTTTTTTTAAGCATTCACATTATTCCAAATGGTGTCTCACTAAAGCCTTATATAGAGGATTAGGACCTCCTTTTTCTTGATGGTGATACATCTGGTGCTGCATCCTAGAATTTTTTTGCCTTCACAGCTGCCTGGCCACACTGTTTACTTCTTTTGCAGTTATCATTGTTTCACTGCCATGGTAACTTCTTTCATATAGTTGTGTAAAAAAAAATGCTGTTTGAACTCATTTATTCAAATACAGAATAGTTCTAGCGTTGTGGAAGTATGCATGCCTTTGTGTCCTCTCCAACCTTCTTCCACACAGGGAGGGTTAAAGCAAGTAGTGCGAACTCTCAAAACAACCCTATCTGAAGCCATATTTTTCTTGCTTTGTTTCTTAGTTACCATTCTTATGGGGAGGAGGCAATTTATGGAATGTAGAATGTTTTCTCCCATGTGCCAGGCATAAAAATGATAAGTCTCCCGAGAACCAAGACCAAATCTGCCTGCCGTAGCAATGGCAGGACGGAGTGCTGAGAAGTTCATCATCTGCTTGGTTGGCTAATGTGACCATTGACAGGAGATGGGTTGACAGTATCTATTCCTTATTTTTACCAAAAACACAGGAATTATTGAATATTGGTTTCATCTTTCAATAACTGGATTTTTGAGGAAGCCAAGGCCTCAGAATCTTGAACTGGTTGGAAGCATTACTTGGCACCATGACAAGCAGTTTTATTAAGAGAGAGCAGTGGTAGGGAATTTGGATGAATATTAAGTTCCCATAGGTAGGCAGCCTACTGGCCAATCAAGTTAGTCCTTGATTTACAATAATTTTTATGCAAACTTTCGAAGTTACCATGGCAACAAATGATGTTTCTGATTCCCTCCCTCCCTCTCAAATTAGGCATACTCCAGGGAATCAGAATGAAAGCCACTCCAGTACGCTAACCTTGCAAATGATCAATCAAGAAGGAAGACCTTTGAAAATCAATGGGGTCATGTGAAGTTAAGAACTAGTTCAAAAAACAACTTCAATCCTTCCCGATGAAACACGCAGAAATGCGAACGGGAACTTTCTTTGGAATGTGAGGTTACCAAAAATAATCCAAACTGCCAATAAATGAGAAAATGTGTAGCTCACGGTTGAAACGAGGGGTCCTTGGTGCTCTCTGAGCTTGATTGCAGACATTTCATTACCCAATGAAATAGGAACATCATCAGTGCACCAGCCAATCTCAGAGGGCACTAAGGACCTCTCAATACAATTAGCGTCCGTTGTGTCAAATTAAGATCTGAGTCAACCAGTATGAATGCAGAAACAAGGAATCTCTTTCGATCAAAGACCTTTTATGATGAGATGGAATAATGACAGATGTCAATATAGAGTTTGTGGAAAAAGCTTCCAGGTGAATAATTTGTTTTTCATAGAAGGGCCAGAATGAACGGAAGCTAAAACAAATGCATAGGCAAAATATATTTTTCAAGCGTCAGGGCCATATTTTTGTATTTTTATGGTTTGCCATTATTTATTTATTTATTTGTTCAACTTGTATGCCGCCTTTCTCCGAAGACTCAAGGAGGTTTACAATGCATTTAAAAACCATATATAAAAACTTTAAAAATTAAAAACATTAAGGTAATTTAACATTAAATATGTATCAGTCGTATGGTTACTTGCTACACATGCATAAAGTTCTCTTCAGAAGAGACTGGGGGGGTCTGCCCTTTCTGGCCCCTCCCTTTGCCGAGATGCTGAGCGAATAGTTTGGAAAAGGCAGCTGCATGTATTGAATTAAATAAAAAAAATCATTTTCCTGATTGTGGCCTTCCTGCCTGTGTCCCATCTGCCTCCCCTTCAGGCGGGAGTCCCAACAACCCAAGACACAAGCTGTCTTTCCCACAGAGCCTCCTGGTCCTCTTCTGATCGCCCGGCTGTTTCTGACAGGATTTGGAGCCTTTTGAGGCCTCCCACAATCTCTGCTGAGCCTTCAGGGTGACTGTTCTTGAGAAGTGAGTTCAAATCCTCCAGAGATATTTTTCTCCATCTCCACAGAAGGTTCCTAGAGAGGTAAGGAGAAGAAGATGGAGAAATAGCTGGATCTGGAGACCACAAAGCTTTTCTTGGGCAGGGAGGAATTGTGAGAGGCTTTCCCCCTACTCCCATGGCCATCATCCCTGCCCTCTCCGTTCTCCTCAGGCGCGCTCCTGTTTCCCGCCCTTTCTACAATCCTGGCACTTTGCGCCAAATCCACCAGGGGGCGCCCTCGGCTAGGAGAAGTTAACGTCACGTCACAGCTGCCTTTCCAGAGGAGGCGGCGATGGGGGTGACATCTCAAACGCTTGCCGCTCTAGGACGCTGCACTCGTTCTCCTTAATCCTTGGGGGAGAGCCTGCGGTAGAGTCTGGCGGGGGGACATCCAGAAGTTCCTCGGGTGAGTTGGGGGCTCTTCCTGGGCAAAGGGAAACGGAGGAGGGAGAGACCCAGCCCAGCCCTCTTCCGGCTTCAACCCTAGATCCCATGCTCCCCAGCCGCCCTCTCCATGCGAAGAGCGAGTGGGGGGAGGGGAGGGTCGGCCTTGCGGAGGCTCAGCAGGAGGGGAGAGAAGCCGGGCCAGGAGGCAGGATTCGCACCAGGCTCCCCGAGGGCTCCATCCTGTCTCCGGAGGGGGAGTGAAGCGGGGCGGCCTCTCCAGCTGCCTCCTTCCAGGCCCTGCTCGGGAGGACCTGGACCCTGCGCTTGGATGAGCCGCTTGGGGCTCCGGGCAGGGCAGGTTGGGTGAAGGTTGTTCAGTGGCTGAATTCCACTTTCTAATTCTTGCTATTTGTTTTTCTTCCCATCTCAGATACAGAAACTCGAAGCCATTTGAAATCTTTGCAAGTTAAAATTTTCTCTTGGGAAAAAAAAGAGCGGAATCCCTTGGAGGGATCAGTCCTGTAGCACCAGAAATGGTCCCGTGAAGCAAAAGGCATCTGGAGACCCACCAGAGTCCTTGGAGCCATTTGGAGCTGCTCTGCAGGACAGAGAAAGGATGGAGACACAACCTTTTGGAAAGGAGGGAAGCGGAAAAGGCCCTTCAGCTGCTCAGCCTGGGAAGTGGGGGAAGCTCTGGACAAGGACTGGGCAGGAGATCCTGGAGGAGGAAACCATCCTCCCTTCAGAAGTTCAGCCCTGGAATTTCATCCAATACCAGGAGGCTGAGGGTCCCCGAGGACTTTGCAGCCGACTCCATGGCTTTTGCAGGCGATGGCTGCGACCAGAAAAGCACACCAAAGCTCAGATGCTGGACCTGGTGGTTCTGGAGCAGTTCCTGGCTCTTCTGCCCCCAGAGATGGAGAGCTGGGTGCGGGAGTATGGAGCAGAGACCAGCTCCCAGGCGGTGGCCCTGGTGGAAGGCTTCCTTCTGAGCCAGGTGGAGGAACAGAAGGAGCAAGTCGAGTTGCAGGTAAGAGTTCAATAGAGAATAGAGAATCTGTTTGAATAGTTCACCCCTCCTTCCCAAACTTCTCTGAAATTCATATGTGGCAATGTCCTACCAATTCTTGTAGGGCATTGTTCCATTTTATTCCCAAAACCCTGAAAATTTTAACCTTTGACTGTCTACTGTTGACCTCAACCCATTCCTGAGCGGTCTGTAAGGGGCATACATAAGCGCACCATCGTGCCTACCGTCCCTTCCCTAATGTCCCTTGTTATTCGTATCCTTTTCATGTATACAACTCATATTTCTACTTCTCTAATAAAATAATTTTTATTGAGTATTTTACTTTTTAAAACCAAACACAGAATAGAAAAAGAAGTCGATACAAAAAACAAAAACAAAAAAACACACACATCAGACGTTAAAATACACTACTTACAACAGATATATACAATTTTACAACTTTTTGCATCAACTTTGTCTTTACTCTTAGTTTTTATCCTCCCGCTTCTTCTCTTTATTTTTAAATATTCACAATTAACTTTTGTTAGCAGGATCGTTATTTACATTTACATACTTTTATCTGTTATTTTATATATGCTTGACAAATAAACAATCAAACAAACAGACATCACTAGTGGATATTGGGGACTTTGAGGTTGTGTTCCGAATATAAGAATCCATTTATTTCGTGTGGTGTACATTAATTCTGCTTCGTTTTTCCTTCCTCCTATTTGAAGTGCTGCACTGTGGAGATCAGAGATCCTGAGGGAAAGAAGAATCCATCAAATCCCCCTCAAGACCTATTTTTCAGGAGGATCCCTTGGGAAGATCCAACTAGGGACACCTCAGGAGGTAATTAAAGATCGTCCAATTACCCAGCTGTCTTACTTTTGCTCTCTCCTCTTCTATAGAATACTTCCTCCTATTTTGTTAAATATGCATTTTGAAATTATTTATTCTTTACAGAGAAAAAAAGCATGAAGTTTTCTGGTTTTTCTGGCAGAGATCAAACAGCGGTTGAACCTCCAAATCAAGTAAGAAAGGGAAAAGTTATTAGAAAATAACTAAATTCTCACATGGCTGTATTATCATTTTTAAAAAGCCTTGTTCATAACCTGTAGTTCAAAAATAAGCAAATCATATTAAAAAATAAAGCAGACTATTAAAATCCAAAGAAAATGGCCACATAGAATCAAGGTACTTTGGCTACAAAATAATTTCCAATCCTCTGATTTCTGCCTGGATTAGGAGATCAAATATTCCTGCTTTGCAAAGACTGAGAAATGACTTTCCTAGGGAATTTTCTCTTTTGTTTTCTTCCATTCAGGCAATGGCTCAGACTACTAGATCAATCGATAGAGCAATAAATCAATTGATCCAGAAAGGCACTGAATGTTTTGCAGAATCCATCAACTTGATAAAACTTCTCCAAATATTTTCAGATTTGCCCATTTTCTCACCTAAAATGAGGACTTGTGTGACGCACAGCCATTTAACTCGCTGCATATCTTGCTTTGGGAATTTGAGAACAATGGAACAGAATAACAGAGTTGGTAAGGATCTTAGAGATCTTCTAGTCCAGCCCCCTTCTCACAGAAGCCCTATAATATTTGGCTGTCCAATTTCTTCATAAACATCTTCAGTGTTGGAGTATCCACCACTTCTGGAAGCAACTCATTCTACTAATTAATTGTTTTCTCTGTCAGGAAATTTTTCTTTAATTGTAGATTAGTTCTCTCCTTGATTAGTTTCCATCAATTGCTTCAATTGTCTCACCTTCAGGTGCTTTGGAGAATAGGTTGGCCTCCTCTTCTTTGTGGCATCCCCTGAGATCTTGAAACACTGCTACCATGTTATTCCTATTCCTTCTTTTCATTAAACTAGACATACCCAATTCCAACAACCGTTCTTTATATGTTTTAGCCTCCAGGATCCTAATCATTTTGGTTGCTCTTCTCTGTACTCTTTCTAGATTCTCAAGATCTTTTTTACATCGTGGCAACTATAACTGGATGCAATATTCTAAGTATGGTCTTACCAAGGCATTATACAGTAGTGGCCAAAATTGTGGAAATCTTTTCGGAAAAGTGTATTTTTGAGGTTTGATGGCTAACAACACCACTTTTTTTTCAATAACCATATTCCATAAACCATAATCATATTCCACTGCTGGAATGGCCTGAGAATAGTCCAGACCTTAACCCAATTAAAAATCTATGCAGCCAACTAAAGAAATTTGTTAGTCAGAAGCGACCCAGCAATAAAACCCTGTTAATAGAAGGAATCATTCAGTCAATCTTTGTTTCACTTTATAACAGCTGCAGAACTAAAAAACTTGGTTCACTCCATGGGAAGACGTTGTAAGGCTGCAATTCATGCTAAAGGTTACCCAATTAAGTATTAACTGACATGATGATAATTTTTCTATATCTTGTTTTTTCTATGGTGATAATTTTTGTATATCTCATTTTTTTCTAAGTGTTTCACTTTTCTTCTTTATACTGTAACTGCTTTTCTAATAGCAAATCCTTCATAAAAGTTGCATTATATTCCTGATTAAATTATCTTTCCATTGATATATAATTTTATGGTACTACTCCAAAAAAAGTGGTGTTATTAGCTAGTTTGAGAAAATACTTTTCCCAAAAAGTTTCCACAATTTTGGCCACTACTGTAAAGTGGTACTAACTCTTCATGTGATTTTGATTTTATCAGTCTCTTAATGCAGTCTATGATTGTATTGGGTCTTTTTTTGGCAACTGTAGCATACTGCTGACTCATGTTTAAGTGATTATCCACTTGATCCCAAGGGGATCCCAAGATCCCTGTTGCACTTTCTACTGTTGAGCCAAGTATCACTTATTCCATGCCCATGCATTTGGTTTTTTTTTCCCTAAATGTAGAACCCTACATTTCTCACCGTTTTTCATTTTGTTAAATGGGGCCCAATCTGTCAGTCCTTCTATATCTTGACCTTATCTTCTAGAGTGTTGGTATTCCTGTCAATTTGGTCTTGTCTGCAAATTTGATGAATTCCCCTTCTATCCTCTTGTCTAAATCATTGATGAAGATGAACAGATTGTGTGAATCCTCCTGTTCTGTTCTTTTTTCCGTGTTCAGGAGAGTCTTGTGTCCTTCGAGGAGGTGGCTGTGTCTTTCTCTGAGGAGGAATGGTCTCAGCTGGATTCTGACCAAAAAGCCCTGCATTCGGAAGTCATGCTTGAAAACCATAGGAATGTGGTCTCTCTGGGTAAGCGTTTTCTAGTCCCCAATCAGAGAATTCAAGAAGACAGATTAGTTAGTTTTTTATTTTTAAAAAGTCTCCAATCCGATATCATCTCTTATGATGGAGAAGGAAAGGAACTGGCCTTCTCGTATTCCAAGGAAGAAAAGA